CTTCTTTCCAGCTCTGTTCTATAATAAAGAACTAGTTATAATAATATAATAAAGAACTAGTATAATAAAGTCCAATTTATTGTATGTGTTAACCAAATTATTCCTACCATTATAAAATTATCTAAGGCTGTAGAAATAAACTCTCCACAAAACCAAAGATTATGTTCATATCCATCTATCTAAAACATGCCATAAATTATATGAATTTAAGGATATTTAAGTCAGCTAACCTAAGGAGGGAGTAACTATACATAAAGACACCTGATAGCCCCAAGATATTTTTTACCAGACAGCTTGATAAAAAGACAGATTATATCATATATCCTTACATCTCCATATTCTACCATAGCATCTCAAGATTTCACCATGATGAAATACTCCATCCTTCCTCTGAATCCCTTATACCTCTTCATGTTCCTGATGTACACAGCATCCTCTCATATGGAAAAAAAAAAAATCTCCCGACAAACTATTCAGAATTTTCAGCCAAAGACCAAATTGTTCTAAAAGTTTAGTCACATTCAGAATTCACCTCCTGGACTGTTCCCTCCTACATAACTCATTTCCATTTTCTTGTGACTATGTATTCTCATGCAGAGATCCATTTTAATAACTGATTGCACGCATTCAGGGCTTAGTAGCTGTATATAACTCATGCTGTATCTGCTGCAAAGCTAAGTTAACAGAGCTCAGAGTCACACTCCCTAAGGTGGTGACGTGTCCACCACATTGCTGTCTCAGAGCTTCTAGCATTCTCCAAGGCAGGTTTTGCTAAGTGTTCACAGAATAGTGGTCAGGATTCAGACCTCTGCTTCCTGTACTCCTTATTAAAAGAAGCAAACTGATGGGCCAGTTCTAACTCAAGGATGGAAGAAGGCACATCATAACTGGGGCAAATTCCAGCCAATAAGTAGAGATAAGACTTTATATCTGGCTGTATGGTAAAACATGACTTTGAAAGTGCTCTACTAGAACACCTACTTAAGGGCTGGGGTTGTGGCTCAGTGGCACATGCGAGGCCCTGGGTTCGATCCTCAGCACCACATAAAAATAAATAAATATAATAAAGGTACTGTTTCCAACTACAATTTTAAAAAATAAATATTTAAAACACCTAGCCAATGTTAGCTTAAGCATAGCACACATTTGTTTAAAGGCATAATGGAGCTAACAAGAAATTTAGAATGTTGCCAGGGGACAGAAATGAAAAAGGAAATGAAACCCAAACAGTAAAGGAATGAACCACGGGTGCAACTGAATTTCAGGTCCCTGTTTCAGTGCTCACTGCTACAAACTAAAGATTTGTGTCCCTCTAATTTGATATATGTTGGTAAAGTCATGTGAAGTCCTGACCCTCAAGGTGTTCAGAGATGGGGCCTTTGAGAAGTGATGAGGTTTTGAGGGTGGAACCCTCACAAATGGGATTAGTGCCCACGTAAAAGAGGTCAGAGAGGTCCTTTACCCTTTCCACAGTGTGAGAAAGCAAGAAAAGAGCCATCCATGAACCAGGAAGTGGGCCCCTACTTACACTTCCCATCCTCCAGAACTGGAAATAAATTTCAGTTTTTGCAAATGCCTTGGCCTATGGTATTCTGTTTATATTCTGTTTATCAACCCAAACAGACCAAGACACATGCCCCAGAACAAGAGTTAGTCTTTTTTTTTTTTTAAAGAGAGAGTGAGAGAGGAGAGAGAGAGAGAGAGAGAGAATTTTTAATATTTATTTTTCAGTTCTCGGCGGACACAACATCTTTGTTGGTATGTGGTGCTGAGGATCGAACCCGGGTCGCACGCATACCAGGCGAGCGCGATACCGCTTGAGCCACATCCCCAGCCCAAGAGTTAGTCTTATACCTTTGCCTTGGAGAAAGATCCATTCAAGATAGTCTGGTTTGTTTGCTTCCCAATAGCCATGGCCTACATATGTATTTTAAGCTGTCCATGTCACTCTATGGGTAGTTTTGCCCTGCCTTTGTGGAGAACAGCTTCCTTCCTGAAAGGTGAGGCTTGGCATGTTTGCATAGACTTCACCAGCTCATCAGTTTAACTGATGCCCTCAATTTTGTCTGTAAACTTGCTAAGCTGGCACACCCACCACTCTAGCCATTCAAGATGTATGCTTAACCAGGAAGGGTCAATTGTGTGTGTTCTAAATCTCATAATTCCAGTTATACTTATTTTTTGTAATTTCATAATTGTCTTTATATTAAGGAAATAAATGGGTATGCAAAGAAAGAAAACTGTTGTTTCTATGAATCACAAGTTCAGTATTTTGGATAGAATGAAAAATCGTGTCTTGAGTAAGTGTGGGTAAAGCAACTCTTCAAAGATTGAGCTTGATGGGGAAGGACTTTAAAATCTAATATCCTAATACTATTGCATTGGGTATTAGATGTCAATCTAAGAATTTTGGAGGGACCCCAACGTTCAGACCATAGCTGCCAGTCACTAAGTTACAGAGAGTATCAGTTGATCTGGTGGATTGCTCGGTTCCCTGTTATAGTAGAGAAAGAATTTAAAGACACTTGCAAAGCAAACTGAGTATAATACAGAATCCCACAGGCACCAGCTTGTGAAATATCAGGTCTCTGAAGTGCTCTTCAGAGTCCCATGCTGTTCTCTCTAAAGGATTAGCTGAGATGACTGAACTAACAGAACAAAATAAAAGTACTGCAACATAATAGTGGAGTATACAGGCTTTGGGCAAGACAAACCCAGTGTCAATTTCATATCTGTAGTTTGATATGTATTAGTTAAGTCATGTGACTTAACTATCTCTGATCCCATTTCCTCATTTGAAAATCAGGACAATAATAATACTACATTTCTCCTGAAATTTTTGTGAGAATTATGAAGATCATATTTGGGGAGCACTTGGCACCATGCTAGATACAACAGTAAAATATCCCATTGTTTTCTCTGTTTTTATGGGCGTGTGTGTGTGTATGGTGCTGGGAATTGAACCCATGGCCTTGTGCATGCAAGGCAAGCACTCTACCAACTGAGCTATATCCCCAGCCCTTTATGGGCTTTTTTTTTTTTTTAATTGATTTTTTTTTTTAATGTGGTGCTGAGGATCAAACCCAGGGCCTTGCACATGCTAGGCAAGTGCTTTGTCACTGACAACCCCAGCCCTATGGTTTGGGTTTTTTTTGTTTGTTTGTTTTTGTTTTTTTTTAATTCTGATGTCTCCCTCTACCCCCAGTACTAAAATTGAACCCAGAGGCACGTTACCCAGTATTTTTTTTTTAATCTTGAGACAAGTGTCTCACTAAGTTGTTAAGACTGGTCTTGATCTTGTGATCCTCCTACCTCAGCCTCCCAATTTGCTAGGATCATCTGCATGTGCCATTGTGCTTGCCTCACTGTGCTTTTTTTAAGACTTGTGTAGGGGATGGGGATGTAGCTCAGTGGTCTAGCACATGCAGAATTCTGGGTTCCATCCCCAACACCCAAAAAAAACAACTGTCTAGATGTCTTATAGAACCCAATTCTATAATTCTTCATGAATTTGATTACATAAGTGATGTGCAAGCTGCCTGTATTTGTTTTCTAGGGCTGCCACAAGAAAATAGCAGACTTAATAGCTTAAAGAACAGAAATATATTCTCTCAGTTTTGTAGGCTGGAAGTCCAAGATCAAGGTGTCAACTTGATTTCTCCCAGGCCTCCCTCCATGGCTTGCCTACTTGCTGGGTTCTGAGGTGGTCATTTCTCTGTGCACATGTATACCCCTGATGTCTCTTTGTCCAAATTTCTTTTTACGGACACCAGTCAAATTGGATTAGGGCCCACCTTAACTACCTTATTTTAATTACCCTTTAAAGTCCCTGTCACCAAATATAGTCAAACTCTGAGATACTAAAGGTTGAGCTTCAAAGTATAAATTTGAGGGGGACACAATCCAGCCCAAAGTATTTTTCATCACATTTGGAAATAATTATCTTCAGGAATAATGACAGGAATACAAAGTAGGACTGAAGGATTTTTAGGTGTCTTCTAATGCTATGATTCTGTAGGACTCTCTGTATTTGACCTATACAGCAAGTGCATTGATTGTGCATAGAAAATATTTAAGAACTCGAGGCTTTATGAATTTACATCTAGTATAAAATGAAATATGGTTCCTGATAACAGGCCACAAATATTTTAGAATATATTAGTGTTGAAAAATACCTGCTTCTGATGAGCTAGGAGTTAGGAGAGAATATATTTGTGGACCATAGGTATATACAAAGTCAAGTAAAATATGTGGTAACCATGTACCTGTTAAGGTTAAAGCATTAGGATAAGGATTATGGGGAAACCTAGAGAAGTCCCTGACCACTCTCAAGGACCTATTTGACCTGTTTGGGAAAACACCAAAAATATTACAAAGTGAGCTTATTTTATTGCCAGTTAAAGGCTCAGTGTAGACAAGGAGGGCGGTGTGTGCGGACGAGGACACAATCATCTCTGAAGCCTGGAGTAAAGATTTTTGATCTCTTCATGACTAGCAACCATAATATTAGGAGAAAGGAAGAGGGCATCATCAAGAAAACAGACCCAGAAATGGCTACCTGCAGATTTAGGACAAATAGGAGAGAGGCCCATAAGGAAGTGGTGTGAACCATGCTCTGAGAAGCATCTCATCAAGAATAGCTTCAGAGAGTCTCATCTATCCCTGGGGTGACAACAGGACCAGGATGTGTTCTGCCCTGTCACAAAGTGAACACCAACATCACAACCTGAGTTGATGGTGGGAGGGTTCTTGTTGCAGTGACTGCCAATAAAATACTCATGACATGAAACACCAGAGTCAGGTATCATCAGCTGCTTGTGAGTGATCCTTAACATAAGTGAAAGTAGGGGTCACTTCACTGGCCAGAGGAAAGACATCACAGTTCTTTCCTCCTTTTCCCACTCACAGAATATTTTGCTTCCTACTAAACAATGATAATGGCAAATATGATTGAAATGTAATCTGAGATAATTCCTTAAGATCTATCTTTTTTCTTTTAGGCCTCTTTTTCGTGGAAGTTCTGATGTCGATCAACTAGGAAAAATCTTGGAGTAAGTAATCACTGTAATCAGTGTCTATATAGCATGGAAACATTTACAATGACTTTTTCTGACTTTCATATAATATGTTTATCTCTTGTCTTTCTTACCCCCAAGCTGCTGCTGCAGACAGTATTATTTGTGTGGTGAGTGGGGACAGGGTATAAGTACTGTCTTATGAGTCCACCATGATGTGTAGTCTGACTGCTGTGCTTTGGAGGCTTGTGTGCTGCTTGTGTGGATCTTTGTGCTGCCCCTTTTTCTTTGCTTGGCTAAGCCCCACCTCTTTGGAGCAGATGTGTTGTCTGCTCCTGGTCATTTCAAACATTCCCAACAGAGTTAAGGCACTTGGTGGCTTAATAACCCATCCTTTTTCAGAGGGCTTCCTGTCCATATCAAATATCCTTGGTCATCCAGGTTGTTTTGCATTGTTTTTTGTTTGTTTGTTTGTTTGTTTTGATTTGATTTGATTTCCTGGGCTATGACTGGGATGCTACACCATCCTGTTTTCTTTGGAGCACCAAATAAGAAATGAGAATCCTAGATTCTCATTCTAGATCTGTGGCTAACTAACTGCAACCTTGAGAAAGTCATTTAAAACACCCTTTAAAAGGCTTACAAAGTATTTGGCACGTAGTAAGTGCTTTAACAATGTTAATGATTGTTGTTGTTATTATAATTCATCACTAATTATTCAATCTTTTTGTTTCTTAACTTCATTTGAGAAATGAAACTCTAACTTGAGTTCTCCATATGATCCTTTCTTGGTCTCAAAATTCTGGGTTCCAGTTGTTTGTTACATTGCTCCTTGATGGTTTGCAGAGCTCCGTTCACGACTGCATGTTGGTGCCTGTGAGGGTCTGTCTGCTTTAATGTTCATAGAGTGTAACCAGGACATTTCTTCTCACAGCGTGCAGCATGGCATCTTTTTGGGGTTTGTGCATTTACTAAACCCCATCAGCATTGGGGTGGAGTAAAGTGAAAATGACTAAAAATAGCAGTGATCATTGCTCTGTGACATTTTCTAGGAATCCTGGTAAATTTTATGAAATCTGAAGTCTGTAAGACTGCAAAAAAAAGAACAGAAGTTTATGTTAGCACTATCTATTCAAGCATAACTGCTTAAAAGAATTGGAATAAAAATGAAACCAGACTTTGTTCTGGTGACTGGAAGCACCTCTGATAGCCCTCCTCTGGTGCCAATGCTACCCTGAGTCAGAACCCAATGACTTTAAGACCTAAAAAACATTTGCAAGTTTTGTCTGGTTTTTGGTTCTTGGTTTTATCTGGGGGCTTCCCAGGTCTGGGGCTGCTGCCACTCTTTGAGATGGATAAATTCAGCCTTCAAGTTACCCTCCTTCTAGATATCAGGTCCATTGATCATTTAGTGGTGAACTTGCATCTGTTCTGCCTATGGTCACTGGACACAGTTTGTGTGCTTGTGACCCTAAAGAGGGAAGTATGAATCCCAGATACTCAGGAGGCTGAGGCAGGAGGATCATGAGATCAAAGCCAGCCTCAGCCAAAAGCAAGGCACTAAGCAACTCAGTGAGACCATGTCTCTAAATAAAAGACAAAATAGGGCTGGGGGGTGTGACTTGGTGGTCGAATGCCCCTGAGTTCAATCTCCTCTACCTGTACCCCCTCAAAAAAAAAAAGAGGGAACCATGAAAGTCAGACTTTCCAGTGCCCCTCAGTTGAAAGGAAAGACACTTTGTACTGAACTCAGCTTGCCAGGCTCAGAAGACCATCACCTGCTCTCCCTTATTTAAACTACCTGGGGTTTCTGTCCACCTCCAGCACAGCCTGCAATCTTGTGAGCATTCCCTTAGTAGATGAAGCCAGTGCAGTGGACCAGAAGGAACATTTGACCAGCCTGTCTGACGTACTTCCAAGGGAAAGCTGGTTCCACTTTTGGCAAAGGCTTGACAATCCTAGGTTGCCAGGAGAAAAGAAGCTGTAAAGTTCGATTGTGCCTTTAGATTTTATTTCTCAGTTTCTGGCATTGTTTCATCAAAATTATTATGTTTTATTTCCTCTGAATGCATTACCTTGCCAGAGAAAAGGGACAATGCTGCACCCTAGTGTCACGGTTAAAGTACTTGAGAAATTTTTTCTATCAACGCCATTTATAGATTTTGTATCCTGTCAGTCTTTCCAGTATAAATGTCAAGTTTTTAAGGCTTATATTCAGTGGTTCAAATGGTGGAATGTGATGCAGTTACTTCTTAATGAACCAATCAGGATTTCACAATGCTCATATATAGACCATAAAAGTTCATACTGGACATGAGACTGAATTTTTTTTAAAGGAAAAGCTATATTTGCATAATCTTTTTTATCTTATTTTTATTCTAATTTGTTATATATGACAGAATGCATTACAGTTCATATTACACATATAGAGCACAATTTTCCTATCTCTGATTGTATACAAAATATATCCATACCATTTATGTCTTCATACATGTTATATTGGCATAATCTTAAAGAGAAACGTTTGTGTTTAAGGAGATTTGTACTTTCAAAACACAAGCACTAAAAAAAAAGAAGGCAAAAAAACAAACACTTTAAAATGAAACCATGTTTTTAGCTTGTGACATGACATTTTATCTCATTTTTAAGAACAGTATCATCATTAAATGTAATTAACTATATTTGTCTTCATATGTGTGTGTGTATACACATATATTCAAAGCTGCAAACCCAAAAGAATTTTAATTATTTCTAAAACTTTCTATAATCAATTTTTAGCAAAAATGCTGCTATAAAAGAAAAACTAAAAAGGAATGAAAGAAAATTTCAAAGGATTTTTAATACACATTCTTGTTTGCCACCTCTGCCCTATCCCATCTATCCAAACATATACACATTCATCTCCTTTCATAATTAATAGTGGCATTTTTGTTTTCTTCTTTTTTGGTGAGGGGTGGGATGCTGGAAATTGAATCCAAAACCTGGATTCTGAGCTTATGCTCCACTACTGAGCTACATACCCCCAGCCCATTCTCTTTTTCTTACTCTCACTGTCCACCTTGCTATTAAACTTTTGGATATTGCTCAGGTTGGTTCCAGTAAATATATCCATGTGCCTGTCTTTGCCTCAATAATGTGACTCTTTCAGATGCCCAACAGAAGCAGAATTAGTGTCTTGCCCCAGACACCCAGTGACAGGTGCAATGATCCAGGGGTATATATGCTCCTCCCTAGGTGAGGTCTGTCACCTGGGCTTTGTTTAGGTCAGGGTAAGGAAAACAAAGCCTTGCATATCTTGTGACATTTACCACCTTATCTTCCTGAAACCTGGAAATCCTTTCATGAGGTCACCCCTTCCTAGGCTAAGTCTTAGAAAGTACAGACCAAGGAGAAGACTCTTAAGATGAACCATGAAATGGTGGCATCATTTCTAACTGGAATAAATTAGTTTAACTCAGAATTTGACTGTATGTCATGTCCACAAAACTGTGACTTTTTTTTAGTTTGGAGTTAGACATTTTTGTGAGATATAAGTTCTTGCATTCTCTGATTTCCCTTATTCAAACCCACCTAACCACCTTTACATCAACTGTAAATAATATCTATATAATGTATAAATTATGTAGGGCCACTGGCTCATGAATATTTCTGAAGAATTTTAAGTTTACACATAACTAGGAGTCAAGCAGTTCCTATTTGCAGTGTAGTAATGATATATTTCCTTTATTGATGCACTTTACATTAATAACATTTTTAACTATGATAATAATAAATAATTATATTGACTGTGTGTTCTATGTGTGGGGCATTGTATTATATACTTTTTATAAATTATCACTGACCTTCATTGTAGCCATAAATTACCATCACTATAAATAAAAATACCAAGAGTCACAGATGTCAAAACAATTTGGTTTTAGTACTAGTAAATGAGAGGTGTGGAATTTGAACCCAGATCTACCCCTTTCCAAAACCTATGCTCTCTTTATCACTTATTATTCTCTCTACGACTCTGATCCCAGAATGGTTTTCAGAGGAAATGTGAGTGATATTCTTATGGTTTATTGTTTTCTTGCTCTGGAATACTGTAGAGTTCTTTATAAAATAGTGTTTGCATAAAATAGAACATTCCTTTTAGCCTTTTTTCTTTGTCTGATTCCAATGTATGTAATCTCTGTTTGGGGAATTACTCTTTAACCAAATGGATGTATTAATGAAACCATAACAGAAAGCATGTCCTCACTGAGGTGTTCCATCAGAACACAAAGAACACTCGTGGGCATAAAGGAAGACTTTTTGTACCCATGTGGTCTCCTTTGAATCCAGCAGGTCCTGCTTTGTCAGTATGTTAGGGTTTGCCCTTAATATATGCCCCATTTCTACATCATCTCATATTTTTAATCTGCTGCCAGAGTAATCCTTTATCTCCTTCCAATGAATTTTACAATTTTCCTATAAGCTTACGTATCCTCTCCTGTTAGATGATCACCATATTGCAGTAGGGCAGAGACAAATAGTCATAAAGTGAATTTCTCCTGGGGAATCTCTGTCCCCAGTGCCTATCTCAAGAGCTTTTGCTCTCTTTAGAATTTGGTGAGGAAACAACTTGGCATAGCAGCTAATGCTCACATTCACGTGTTCTTTCCTAGTGTAATTGGACTCCCAGGAGAAGAGGACTGGCCCAGAGACGTTGCCCTTCCCAGGCAGGCTTTTCATTCCAAATCTGCCCAACCCATTGAGAAGTTTGTATCAGATATCGACGAACTTGGCAAAGACCTGCTTCTGGTAAGTTCATGCAGTTCTGTGCCCTGGGATGGTATTATTCATACTGAGCTCTGGGCACAAGAATCAGTTCAGCAAGGGCTACAGCCATCACAGCTGGCTGTAGTTTTTTCATGGGTTTTGTGGATTTTGATTCTGGAATGTCCTTCTGATCCACACTCTGAATAAAATCTGCCATCTTTGAAGCCTTAGAAGCTTCTGGATTTGCTTGGGCATATACTTGTTTAGAAGTAAATATTATCTTTCCTTGTTTAAAGTTCGTGCTGCTTTAAGTAACTTGTTTGTCATTTTAAGGTCCCTTTTCATAAATAGTAACATCTTGGGGGAATGTTTTTCCAAAGGAACCAAGTAGCAAAACTCCTTCTGGGACCAATTTCTTAAGTATTTAACATGCCATGCACATGTAAAATCCTTCAGACTCAAACTCATAATACTTGGTGCTGTAGCTAAGTTTCTGAACTCAAAGGCCAGAAAAATAGGTACAGAAGAGTATACCTATTGGGAGCTTCTCTTGGTGACAGAACCCAGTCAGTAACGGGTATATCCTTTACCTCCTGAATTAAGAGCCTCTGACATCTGCTTCAGGCTGTGGTCAAGTACAGGTCTTCTCCACAAGAAGCAGCAGCTTCCTGGGGCGTGTTTTCCTCATGGCAGTAGGTAGAGGCTCCCAGAAGGCAGGCGAGAACATATAGTGCCCCCAAAGGCCTAGGCTTAGAAGAATCATCCTGCCACAGTCGTCTTTCCACATTCTGTTGTCCAAATCAAGTTACATAGCCAAGGCCAACTTGAAATGGAGGAAGGATTACCCCTCCTTTGGAGGGAGAAGAGAGAAGAAAAGGAGTATATGCGAAAAATTATCCAGTCTATCACAGTATTCGAGTCTTGGCTAAGTTATGATTCTAAAACCTCATTTTGTAAGTAGTTATTTGGCAATGAAATTAAATTTTTGTGCAGAAGCAATATTATTACACAAGATCTTTGAGTTAATTCTCATGCCAGCCTTGTTCCTGAAATAGAGGAGTAATAGAACTTTACTCCTTTTTCTAACTATAATTCTATAGGACAGAATATATTAAGAGTTCCCCTTGGAGTTCTCACACACACACCCTTGTTTGAGTAAGGAGCTCTCTCTCCTTCCCTCCATTCTCTTCCCAGCTCTTACACTATCAGTGCAGCTGCAGGAAAGGGCTTCCTCCCAGATAATCCTCTAGGGACATCTCTTCCTATCTCACACATATTCCCACAAAGCTTTTCTCTTCTCTCCTATGTCCTAGGGGACTAGCTTTCCCCCACCCCTGCCCCTAATGCAATTGCCCTATCTTTTCCTCCTTGGACTGCAGAAAGAGAGACTCAGACTCAAGAACTTTGCCCCTGCTTTTCTGACCTTTGGAAGAGCAGTCTTTGCAAAGCTTTTCTAAAGTTGTCTATTAGAGACAGTGAATACATTCTACACACAAGCTCCTTTCTGGATTGTACTCTCTTTTTTTTTTTTTTTTTTTTTTGGTGGTGCTGAATATTGAACCCAGGGCCTTGTGCATGTGGATATACCAACCAAGCTATATCCCCAGCTACAAGCTCCTTTCTCTGCCTGCCATTTAGCTCTTGATTTTTCAGAAGACCCAAAACTGAAACTGGAATCTGCAGACTGATAGGGAGCTTAGGATAAATAAGATTTCAGGGGACTAGAGAATTTGCCTGAAATTATATATAGAATTTTCTATTTGTATGTACCTTTCTTTTTTTATTATTTTTAGTTGTAGATGGACACAATACCTTTATTTTATTATTCATTTATTTTTTATGTGGTGCTAAGGATTGAACCTAGTGCCTCATACATGCTAGGCAAATGGTCTACCACTGAGCTACACCCCCAGCCTGTATGTGCCTTTCTTTAAGACCAGTAGCTTTCAACTATTAATGGGGTCCGTAATCTAGTCAGAACATAAGGAGGACTGTGAGCAGGAACCCTAAATGAGTGGGAAAGTCTGCATAACCATAAAAATATTAAGTCTTTGTATTACATAGAGGTCTTAAAATTTATAGGCATTACAGAGGCCCACTTCCCTTCAGTGGGCATTGCCTCAAATGGTATGCTTCTTTGTGGCCTGTGGCTCCTGGGACAATGGGCAGGTCCTACTCATGGTAATTAGTGCTTGTCACCAGGTAGGTGCTCAGCTTGGTTAAAGGAGAAAGGAGTGGAGGAACAAAATTACATGTGGTTGAAGTGGAAATGAGACTGACATTAGGGACTTGGTTGACAGTTTGGGAGCAGAGGTTCACCTGTCCCTCCTTTTACCTTCTACCTCAGTTGCCTAGCCAAACTGACCAGACCATTTGACTCAGACCAGGTACTCCTTAAGTGCAGGGACCAGCTCATTTGCTCTAGTACTCCTGTGCTTGAATTGTCCACCTGGAATAGACTTTAGTGACTTGAATTGAATCTTATGGTTTCCTTGAAGGGATGCTGCTAGCCCATGGGGCATCTTGCTGAGAGTTAGAAAGAGGGCATCCTTCCCCTGGGTGATGCAGTCCTAGGGCAAGTAATAGAGACCTAGATTTGAACCCCTCCACTGGGGGGGGCTTGTTCAGTAATTACCTTTTACACCTCCACCACCTTGTTCAGTAATTACCCTTTACACCTAAGTAGGACACCTCATCTGTTATCTGCACATTGACAAACCCTGGGCCAAGGCAAGGTGATAGGGTAAAGTCCCTGACTATAGAACTAAGTTTTCTAGAAGAATCTCAGCATAAGTAAGGCTATATACATACTACAAATATAATAATAACTTTGGGGGTGCTGGGGATCAAACAAGCTAACAAGCACTCTTCCACTGAGCTACACCTCCATTTTTTAAGGAATGTGGAGTAGTCTGGAGAGAAACCATAGGTAATCAACACACCTCAGACACCCAAAGGATGTTGTCTTTTCCTTCAGGGCAATTTATGCATTCGGGGCATATAAAAGTAAAGTACTGTCTACATATTATGTAATGTTCCTTGAAATAAAAATTCACTCTTATTATAGATATACTTAATACGTGTCAGTGAATAGAGGAATAACTATGTAAAGCATATTATTTACACTGATGTTTTATATCCGTCCATTTCTTTTTCTTTATTACAGAAGTGCCTGACATTTAATCCAGCCAAAAGAATATCTGCCTACAGCGCCCTGTCTCACCCATACTTCCAAGACCTGGAGAGGTGCAAGGAGAACCTGGATTCCCACCTGCCGCCCAGCCAGAACCCCTCAGAGCTGAATACAGCCTAAGGTCCCCATGGCTATCTTGAGCTGATCATCTGGAGAATACCCTTAGTGGCTGTTGGGTCCCCCTGAGCAGAGCTATTGAAGGTCACTGTCTGGAGGCCTTCCAGCTGCCATCTTCTGGATGGGTTCTGCTTCTTCAAGGAAACCGCCTAGTTTACTGTTTTGGAATCAATGCAAGAGTGATTGCAGCTTTATGTTCATTCATTTGTCTGTCTGTTTATTTCAAGAACCTGGAAAAATTCCAGAAGAAGAGAAGCTGCTGACCAATTGTGCTGCCATTTCATATTTCTAACCTTGAATGCTGCCAGTGTGAAGTGGGTGATCCAGGCACAGCTGAGTTATGATGTAACCTCTCTGCAGCTGCTGGGCCTGATTTGGTACTTTTGAGTGTGTGTGTACATGTAAGAGAGATTCTGTGATCTCTTAAAGTGTTACTTTTTGTAAACGACAAGAATAATTGAATTTTAAAGACTCAAGGTGACCGATAAAATTCCAGGCGCTGTTCACTGAAGGTGATTCACCAGAATGATCTTCTCAAATTAGAAAGTTGAGCCTATGTCCTCAGCATTTCTGTTCTGGCCAAAAGGAGTAAATTTGTTAGCAGTTAAAGATGAAGTTTTAGACACACAGCAAAAAGGAAGAAAAAATTCTAATATCCTTTAAGAGACCTGTTTTTTAAAGCATGCATTCTATTTACTCTTTTGAAACTGAATTTACTTGTAAGTCTATTTTAACTTTCTATATAGTATCATGCTTTACTGTTTCTTTTGAAAATATAAGCTTTTTATTACTTGCTATAGATTTAGGGATTGTACCTCGTATAGGTTAAAAAAAAAAAACTAGAGAAAACCTTTATTTTCTGGTTTGAAATGTCTTGACTTCTTTTTTGGTTTTCGTTTTTACTTAGTTTTTGTTTTTAGGAATTTGTCAAAACTGTTTCCTGTTTGGATTTGGAGAGTAGTTCTCTCTGACCAGGGACAGAGATACCATTTAAATTTTCTGTATCTATTACACTGTACTTTTCCCTATGCACTGCCTTATTTGCAAAGTGCCCATCTTATCTATCTCCCAGCACCTCTCATATATATTGCTCCCATTTCATAACTCATAACAGATGCCAAAGCTGTTCCATGCACCACCTGCTTGCTTGCTTTCAATGAACCTTTCATAAATAGGCAGCTTCAGATTATGGTTTATGGCCTTGATTCTGCAATCCTAACAGGGCCCCATATGTTCTTGATGCAGTCTTCCTACCTGGCATCTGCTTGAGTTACCTAAGCAATGAATAGGATACTTGTTCCACTCTGTCACCAGCACAAAGATTGCTATAAACTGTTACTTAGTGTTTTACATTTTTGTAGAATTTATGCTTAGTGTAATTTCTGAGGGAATGTCTTTAACTCTTTTTTAGAGCTAGCTGTTAATATTCTAAATAATCTTTGTCTCTCTCCTCCAGGCCATGCTTGTTTCCAGTGCCTTGTGCTCACTCCTGCTCTCTGCAGGACCAGCCTGACCTGGGCATTATAAATAGCTCTTCTTTTTCTCGAGATGCTTTCTCTCTCATCCTTTGTATCCCATACCACCTCTGCCTTCTCTATAGTTTGGTGCTGAGAGAACTTGAGTAACCAGAAGACACAGAAAGCATCTTTGGAGAAGTTCTGCTTCCTGTGCTTTCTGACTGTTTGAGGACAGGCAACAAACAGCTAGATTATGTTGAGAGTTAGGCTTTTCAAGGACTGGCCATTGCTTTCCTCAGTAGAAAGTGTTTCAAATGATGCTTATGCATTATCAAGCTCACTGAATTCTTCCCAGCTTCATATTGTTATCTCATAGCAAAGGGTAATGATAACCTAAGCTTAAGAACGTAATTCCTGAACAAGAAGAACATTTAGGAGATGTTTCTTCTCAAAAGCTTTTTGGGGATAGAACTGTTCTTTTTTTAAAACATACATTGTTTAACATTGTTCTAGTTCCGTAGCTTTAGGAACAGGAATGTTTTCTAACGCAAGGTAAAAAAGATGGGCTAAGCATGGTTTATACTTCCTTCCTGTGACAGCATTAATGATGTGTTGTCACCACTGTAAATGCTTGAGATATAATGAATCTAGGAGCATTCTGAGCAAGATATATTCATAAGTCTTACCTGGAAATTAGTTCTGCCTTTGATTGAGGTTCAAAAGACAAAAGACTTTTTTTTTTCCCCTGGGGCCTAGAAATTTAATTTTAAAATTCACTGCACTGATTCACCATGACCTTTTCTTGGTTGGTATCCATGTGTTAAAGTGAACATAACTTGACTCTTTGCTTTTGCAAAAGTTTTTTCAGTGGTTCCCTCAAGAAAAATGCAGCTGTTCTGAACTGGAATTTTTCAGCATTTTTAGAATTTTAAATGGTGAGCTCAGTTTTTACTTCTAGCATCTGCTTTGGGCTTATTTATAAGTAATGTTTGTAAAGAAAAATTCAAACACATTTTGGCACTAGATGCTTTGCCCATCACCCTCTGGTGGCACAGAAGGAAAGGGCATCTCAGCTTCACAAACTCAGTTAAATCTCATAGTTCTTCCATTGCCATAGTGGTTGCACTTAGGCAATGATTCTCTTGTTGTATGTCTTTACACGCAGGCTCACCACTTCTAAAACCCAGGTACCCCATGAGCAGCTTTGCCATTAGGGCCCTTTTTTGAAGCATACAGTAGAATAAGAACCTAGTGAATATCGCTTATTCTTCTGTAACATGGCTTCAGACTTCTTTCCCAAAAGCTAGGCAGCAGTTAACTGAAAAGATCATACTGCCCCAAGAAAGAAGCTTATGGCAAGAAAAAGTCTCAGATTTGAAATCACGTTTTGAATATATACTAGAACTAGTGTACACATGTATGTGCCTGATAGCTTCTGTTTGGGGCTTGGTTCTGGTGGCCCAGGCCTTGAGAGCTGTTGTTATATGGAGTTATAACAACCTCAGTATAAAAAAAGAAAAAGAAAAAGAAACATATCTGTTTATCATAAGCTATCTCATGGCAAAGGGTAACCTAAGCTCAATAACATAATTCCTGAGAGCTTGTAATCACTCATTGGGTTGGAGCCTCCCACTTTGTCCCTCTGAAGAGGCTGGAAACTCAAAGAGAAAGAGCCTCTCTGCAAGAAAGCTTGGGGCCATTTCAGCCCCCTGTGTTCTCAGATTTTTCCCTCAGGAAGCACACACTGTGAATGGCAGGTTTTTCATTTAGCCCCAGGTGATTTACTAAAAATAGTTTAAAATTATCCAACTAAGAGTAGAATCTCGGCATGTTAGTTTCCAGTACAAATGAAAATTTCAGAATGCACAGATGTTAAGATCTTAAAGAAAATGTGTTCCTTTTAATAGGAAAAATATATAGTTTGATTCTAGAACATGGTACTATCCATTTTGTTGAAAGAAACCAATAGTACCAAACATTTTGAACTTTAAATTATGTATTTAAATTGATTTTTTAATAACAATAGCGGCCTCACTTTAAAGTGGTGCCTAATTAAAGTCAGTAATGCAATTCTCATTCCATTGTGGAAATTAAATCATGTGAACTTCATGATATCATAAGCATATTAAAATTCTTATGTTCAAAGAATTGCTTTTCTTTTAAGTGACAGCTTGACTATTTTTATGATAAGCACATGAGAGTGTCTTACATTTTATTTTCCAAATACAAACTTTTGTTGCATAATTGGCTGTAGGAACATATTGATAGAATTCAAAAGAATGCACGTTTTATGTTGTGACATAAGAATAAAGATGTGGCATGACTTCTTTTTTGTGGCATGACTTCTAAATCTTTAAAAATTATTTATGAAACATTAGACAGTGAATAGAGGAAATTCTGAAGAAACTGAACATATTCAAAGGGTAGTTTCAAAGTTACATATATTTTGAAGTATATATTTTTTTATCCTCAAGTATATTGTAAGAATTGATATTAAAATCACCTGGAAAACTATGGACTTGACATGTTCAAAAACAAATCATATGGAAAAGCTATCCCTGGCATAAATTAACATATGCTTTAGAGTATTCACTGTTTAAAAAAAATTTTTAAGTCATGTGTTTCCTATGCCAGTGGGACTTTTGAAAAATTGTAAATCTTACAAACTCCTTTATCATGTACACTAATACATTAAGTACATTTGTCTTCTCCAAAAAACTTCCTGAGACTACCAAAGCCTGAAAACAATGTAAATCCTGGGAAAAATAGTAATGGTATTTCCTCAAAAGCATGAGAAAACAGCATTTTCATTCCTTACTGACTTCATTATTATCAATACAATTTTAGTCCAATTTTGATACATACTTATATCTCAAGCATTTCTAACTTGTCCTTTTTTAGAAAATAAGCCAAATCTATTCCTTTTGCCTTCTCTGTCTTCTGACCTTTGTAAATAACAGAACTGTAGAAGTAGGAGGAAAATGATACTCTTAATGTTTTTTCTCAATTAGTTTTTGTTTTGTTTTGTTTTGTTTTTGTTTTTTAAGTGGAGTACCAGCTTTTCAAAGTATTTTGCATTTACTGGTTTGCTGGTATTCTTGGGGAGTTAGTTTAGATTAATAAATGGACTTCCTTTAGAATCTTGGTTTCCTTGATCCTGGTGCTCTGGCCTTTAAGAAGAAAGAGCTACTTGAAAGTACATGCTTTCCCGCCCCCCCCCCAGCATCTATTGAAATACTATTACAGAAATTTAAAGTTAATGTTGTAGGAATTGAAGGTAGTTTTTTGTTTATTTTTGTTTAATGTTAATGGTAGGTATGAAAAGTAGTTTTAAAAAAAAAAAACTTTTAAAAAAGTTCTGTTAATTCACAGTCCTAAGAGCTGGACTCTTCTGTTTTATTACAGTGTGTTCCACAAGGTGGCGCTTTCAAAAAAATAAAAATCTGGCCAAGGCTGAAGAGGTAGTTCTAAGGACTTTATTCTTTTTTTCTGCACATCTTTAACTTCTGCCTAGCACTTGTTCCTCAATATAATTAATAGTGTTCATAATGTTCTATAACTTAAGATATTTTAGTTGTTTATCTAGGTTCTGAACGATTGTCTGAAAATTAATTGTGCTAGATGACTTTATGCCTATTTTGATCTTAAGTTGAGTCAAGAAAGCCTAGTCACTTTTATTCAGGACACTTTTGGTTTTTGTATTTTTTTTTTTGAGGTACCTAGTTACCTCACTTTTCTACTTTGGGCAGACTCACTTATTAAAAAGGCAACTCTCAGTTTGTGAACAGAATAGTTTTGTTAGGAGTGTAACATTTAATCAAGAAGCCCCAGTTAAAACACCCACACCCCAGTCTACTGGTTTCACATCCTCTACCATGGTGACCTTTTGACACTGATTCCACTTTAAAATTCTAATCTAAAAATCAGATGAGCAAAATAAGTAGTGCATCAATAATTAAATAGACAAAATCTTTTCTAAAGAATTGCTATACTGAAACAGCACTAAAATGCTAAAAGACCTGGTAAATTTTACACTTTAATGACTAATGCAAATTCCTAAGAAATTCTAACTCTTAGGTATTGTCTAGGTATATGAGCATAATCTAGCAACTCTCCACATCTCTGGTTTCTCCACTTTTAAAGGTTTTTAGCATTCATGATATGTTTGTTTTAATTTACGTTTCTGCTCAGAGACCCACTTTCCTCTCGCCCCTCCCCTGGAAATGATTAACAAAATTTAGGAGGAAGGAAATGACAGTATTCTTCATTTTCTGTAGCACAGTACAACAGGCCGCGTACTCACTCTTGAATGGCAGAAACTCAGTGGTACCTGCTTTCCTCCAGAGAGGCAGGCGAGAAAATCTCGGTGATTCACACTGAATCAAACTGCCACACACACACACTAGGAACTGTCAGAGTTCTAAGAAATCATGACCCCGTGCACCCTCAGCCCTCACCGAAGGGGAGCCCAATTTAAGCCCCCAGAAAGGTCCACTTCAAACCCAGGTCAGTTACCTGGGCCAGAGCGAACGCCACTGGCTGGCGTTCCCAACTTGATCCGCACCTGGACGCCTTCCCGGGCGCGGCGCCCCGCCCCTCCGCAGGAGAGTGGCAGGGGGCGGAGCTGCCCGAGACCCACCGGACGGGAGAGGTCCAGGCTCTGCTGCTGTCTCAGAGGCATCCGTTCTGCAATCTAAGGAAGTAAAATGACGCAGGAAGTCAACGGGTGTCTTCTGTGCATAAATAAGTACAACATAATTTTCCGAACGTTCGGGTATGAAGGGATGCGGTAGAAGCTGCTCTCTGCGAAGCTCTACCAGGCATCCCAAGTTGTAAGCTCAGCCTTTTTTTTTTTTTTAAGAGAAGATGTATAATTGCAGGAAATGCTTTTTATTTCTTTTTTTTTTCTTCTGTCATTCTACATTTATGATGGCAAAGGAGAATCCTGGAAAAGTTGTTTTGAAAAGTTGTTTATTTTCTACTCCATCTTCAGTTGGCAAAAGTTCCTCTTTAGTTTCCAATTTTTCTCCCCCTCCTCCACCCTTCAAGTAATTACAGGCATGTAAGTAAATTATCTCCTGTAAGAGGGGGCTTTCCTGTTGAGAGGAATCTTTTGTGTGAATAATCTGATCACACCCACCAAAAAAAGAAAAAAATCAACTCCTTCTCTACTTTAGAAGTTTGGAATCAAAAGTAGATTTTCCTAAAGGAGACATATAGCTGTATATTGACTGAAAAGAACTGTGACTTTAGCACTAATCAGTAAACACAAAACGATACCAATATTTAATTTCAGACTGGTTTTTAGTCAAATTCCCTCTGTGTTTAGGTCAAAATTCTGATGGTACCTTGGACCCCTTACTTGAAAATTTCTAATCTTAAATTTTATGAAATGAATAACATGTATTAGCTAACAATACTTCTGTGGTCACCAGCAACTCTGAGTTTGACCGTTAAGTCTTTGAATACTTAAAATTGGTCCAACAGTAGTGCATTTTTTGAACCCGCAAGTGTACCATGTCTTTTCACTCTTGGCCTTTGTTTGCAATCATATACACATGTAAGTTATAGCTCCTTACTTACTTTTTATTCATTTATTTTCCAGTGACCATTAATAAATGTATTAGTATTTGGAATTAATAGCAACCTAGATACAGCACTTAGCAGGTGGAGAATTTTTTTCAAGTTGTTCTACATTTGCATAAATTATTTCTATTATTATTCATGTATATTATTTATTTCTGAGTCACACTAGTCCTGTGAAAGTACAACTGAAGGCAGATTTACTAGGGCTTGCATTTGAGGTTCATTATCATGGTCTTGAAATTAAAAGTTAGATGAAACCCCCAAGTAAGCTGCATGCATTTTTATTATGATTAGTAGAGATAAGTCTATAGATGTAGTATTTTTGGTGTTTTATCATTATGTAAACAAATTAAAGCAGAGGTCTTTGTAGTTGTTGCTTGTGTTGAATATGCATATAGTATAGGGTGAAATTACAGCAAAAGTAAAAGCTAAAGGTAGAAAAGCATTTTAGAGATTGCCTTCATTTAGGAACTGGGCCAGGTGGCCAGCAGAGTAGATAGATGCCAGGCAGAGACAAGTGTCTGGGCGGTGCCTTCTGTCTGGCCTTGTGAAGAAGCTTCTCCCCAAGATCTACTGTGTACTAGGTGTCCTGTGCAGAAGTGGGAACAGGTAGTACTGCTGAAAGGGGAGCAGTGTGAAAGCTGTTCTGTAGAAGCAGAACTGGCAGCTTGTGCCTTGAGGCTTCCAGAGCAGGTCAGATGAAGAAGTCCAAGTTTCCATGCTTCGGGCAACTTAGCTGTGTACAGAAGCAATCCAGCCTGGTAATAAAAAGCAAGGGTTGTTCATACAGTAATTGAAAAAGGGATTTTAGCAACCAGCAATTCCCAACACCTCAAAAGCTTGCTGCATTTCTGGTATTTTAGGTATTTCTGGTATTTGATCTGAAGGTTAAAGGGCAAGTGTTTTGTATAGAAAAGCAGTATGTGTTAAGAAAAGCACAATGTCAGTTCCTGTAGAGGGCAGATTAGAACTAGAGAATTTTGTAGGATTATCATTTCTAAAATGCTCATGTTTTCACTGTAAAATGTATTAGTGCTTCAGCATTTCCATAGTAAAAACTTTCTTCCAAGTTTCAGCAAGGCTGCCATACACAGTAAACTTCTTTCTTTTTTTACTTAAAAGAGAAAATGTTTTTAAAGTTTTAAAAAAAAAATCTTAATTTGGACTTTTGACTTATTGGTTTCTATATGTGAAATCACAGTTCTCACAATGAAGAGACTGTGCACATCAGATACTAATCTAGGCTATGAGAACAGCCCAGGATGACTATTACCTATCTCCACAGCCTACATCCTGACCCCATCCCTGTAACCATCTCTTCCTCTCTCCAACTAAGGTGCTCCTTGCCACCACCCTGACCTGTCCAAGTGGTGCTCTCTGTCCTCTGCTCATTTGGAGTCATCAAGGACATCATGAGATTAGATACCACAGTGTGCCTGCCTAGACCTGGCCACCACTCCTACTTAACATTCAGCTGGCCACCGTCATCAATAGATGGTTCCCGATGCCAGGCACTGAATGTGCCCATGACATCAATCAGACATGCCCTCTAGCATCTTTGTATGCATCTTGATCTTTAACCAAGTCGTTCTACGAAGCATTCAGTTTTGGCTGTGGTACCAAGAGAAAAACTAACCAAGAATATAAACCACATTCCAGGCTGCTGTTTTCTATCCATTTGCAGGCTATACTTCTACTGTATTTCTTCATACTTGAAATTCATTCTGCTATTTAATATCAGGGTACAGACATCAGGGTGCATGTTCCCTAAAGGTGCATAATTACTCTCATTCCGTTTGCTCACATTGCTACAGAATGCTCTGTTTTGGTGCTTTGGACCCAGCAGGTCAAAAAAGCAGTGTGGAAAATCACTGCCAGGAACACAGTCTTACAAGAATGTTGGCCAATGACTTGGTGTTAGATCTGTTCTTTTCTCTGCATACAAGGTTGAGAGTAACCACACTGGCCTGTCAGGTCCACCCCAGCGTCTTTCCTATGTTCTACTCAAGGGTGGGTGTAGCACAGCCCTGGGAAAGCAGGGATTTTCTTAACTATATGGACTATCAGCCCTCAAAAAAAAAAAAATGACCTTGGGTACAGACAACATCGGACAGGGCCAAGTGGGCCATGTCCTATTCCACATGGAAATGTTTTTAGAGGGCCCTGAGCTGAATGTTCTCGCTCTCTCCCCTTGAGGCAGATAAAAATAGTGGTCAGTTTATCTAAGCCCATCCCATCAGAAGAGGAGAACAGAAAAATAGGTGTTTGTGTCAGGTAAAATATGTCATCCAAGGATCTCAACAACTTCCATTAAATACCCCATCACTAGAACTCTATTTTTTTAAAGTAACTTAAGTAAGAGATGCTTTCTGACCTGGGATCTCTGGGGTAGCCATTCCTGTTTGCATCTTACCCTGACACTTAATTGGAGAGAAAAAACTGCAGTGGCGATTCTGTTGTCATGGCAAAGGTAACAGGTCAGGAAATTCAGAGGGTTACAGTCAATAATCCTTTGGAAACTGGATGTCTTACTGGGTGCTAGAATGCAAATATCGGTATTTATTGTCAGATAATGGAATTCGTTGTTTTTTCAAAATTAGTGTTGAAATGTTACTGTCCATTGTGTTCACTTACACAGAAGCGAAATTGAAACAAAAAGAAAATGCTCTGTTCATTTGTCATACCTTTTGTATTTCTTACAATAAAAATATTGGTAGCAAATAAAAAAGGCAAATTTAAACTGCTTTCTCGAATTTGAATTACTCTCCTCATTTTGTTTGTTTGCTACAATACTAGAGACTGAACCCAAGGACTTATATTTACTAAGTAAACACTCTATCACTGAACTACACTCCCAGCCCTATTTTAAAAAAAAACATTTTTAATTGAAGATAGGCATAATACCTTTATTTTACTTATTTATATGTGGTGCTGAGCAATGAACCCAGTGTCTCACACATGCCAGGCAAGCGCTTTGCCACTGAGCCATAACCCCAGCTCCCTCCCAGCCCTTTTTTAAATTTTATTTTACACTTTGAAACAGAGTTGCCCTAACACCCAGGCTGGCCTCAAACTTGTGATCCTCCTGCCTCAGCCTCCAGAGTAGCTTTTACTTTAATGTTAAATGAATATAACTATGGTAAATAACAAAGTATTAAACTGCAAAAATGTATTCACAAAATGTGTTTTATTTTGAAGGATTCCTTTCAGTCTTCCAAAGCTTAAAAATGTAATTAGAAGCCTACTGAGTTTAGAGTTCGTTCCACAAACACTTATCGAGCCCTCATTAGTTGGCTACGCTAAACATTGAAAATGGAAAAATGTGGACAGTCCTTTCCAAAGTTTACAGATGAGAGAAGGAAGTATACAGAAGATTTTTTTTTTATCAATAGCTGATAAACTGGAGATCAGTAAAGCTTTTGCATCCAAGATAAAGCTTGAGAGGACTCAAAACTAAAGAGTAATGTTTGCAAGAGCAAGGCCTACAATTATGAAAGAGAAGGCAGAAAAGTGCAGGAAGATTGGTAAGACTGTGCCTGAGAGAAGCTCCTAAACATCTGATTCATAATCTGTAGGAAGGAGTATGATCTAACATCTTGATCTGGTACACACATGCATATATTCTGGATCATTTTCTTCAAAATTGTGCCCATACAAATCCTTCAGTTATCTCTCTTATACTCATAGCCACATTCCATGAATAGTCTACCAGCCCTTTGTCCTTCATTTTACCTTCTAGAATGTCAGCCCGATTTCCATTTCCCTGTTCTCTAGCTAAGCATTAATGGTGGGGGTGAGTCCAGGAGACCATGTTTGTTCAGCAAACTTAAGCTTCACAAAATGAAGCTGTGTGTTTCACACGTTACCTTTATATTGGTAGCTAAAATTGATTTCACAGTCCCAATAATAGGCATGCCTTACAATAATAACCAATAATCCAGTTCTTTAAGTGGGCAAAACATTTCAAATGGCCTCTCACCCAAGAAGATGAATAAATAGCTGAAATGATGACTTACATTTGTTCTTAGGAGAATACAAATGAAGCCACAATGAGCTATCACTATAGAGCTAGCTAAAATTTTTTTTTTTTTTGTCTTTTTTGGAACTGGGGGTCGAACCCAGGGCTTTGCGAATGCAAGGCAGACGCTTTGCCACTGAGCTACATCCCAGCCCTAGCTAAAATTTTAAAATTTGACAACTCCAAATGTTGAGGATGTAGAAGAACTGAAATTCACTATCCAATGGTAGGGGTACAGTATGACAGGACCAATTTGGAAAGAGTTAAGAGTTGAGCATACACTTAACATTCAACCTAGTAACCTCACTTCTAGACATTTAGACAAAAGAGATGAAAATGTATATACTAATACTTATTTATAAATGTTCACAGTAGTTTTACTTGTAATGGGCAAAGACTGGAAACAACCCAAATGTCCATGAACAAGTGAATGAATAAACACTTGGTGATTTATAAACACAGTGGAATACTACTCAACAATAAAAAAAGAAGAGCTATTGATATGCACAACAACAGAGGTGAATCTCAAAGCACTTAAGATAAATGAAAAAGGTCAAATACAAAAGGCTGTTTAATTCCACTTACATGAAGTTCTAGAAAAGGCAAAACTATAATGATAGAAAATGTTGGTTTCCAGGGACTGGGAAAACAAGGAAGGAGATTAACTGCAAAAAGATACAAGTGAACATTTTAGAAAGATGGAAATGTTTGATAAGTGATTGTGGTCATGATTACATCACTGTCCATTTGTCAAAATCATCAAACAGTCAGTACATTATAAATAGTACATAGTGTATACATACACTATACCTCAATAAAACTGATTCTGAAAAAATGTAAAAAATGTCCATATTCAGTGCTAACAATAGCCAACCTGAAATAATTGGCAAAGAACTTTTGAAGTTTGTGAGTCAGCTCAACAAGGATGGAACAAGAGGAAAATTTTAGTGAAACTATAACCCATTGATTCAGCTGAAGCTTCATGAGCACCAGAAATTTTCCTTTCTGACTCATATTCCTGGTAATTTCCTTACATTCACTAAAAGTCTCAACCTGAGATTTCCAAAAGGTGAGTTAGTCAATGGCTACTTGCTTTTTTAAGATTTGAATTCTTTTTTTTTTTAATTTTTTTTAGTTATTTATGGACACAGTGTCTTTATTTTGTTTATTTATTTGTATGTGGTGCTGAGGATCCAACCCCAGTGCCTCACATGTTCGAGACAAGCACTCTGCCACTGAGCTACAGCCCCAGCCCAAATTCTTTTTTTTAAATATTTGTTTTAGTTGTAGTTGGACACAATACCTTCATATTATTTATTTTATATGGTGTTGAGGATCAAACCTAGGGCCTCACATTGCCAGGCGGGCGCTCTACTGCTGAGCTACAACCCCAGTCCTGAGTTCTTTATTTTAAAAAAGTCTTTGAGTGGGATAGGGAGCAGGAGTATGGGAGGAATAGAAGAACTCTAGATAGGGCAGAGGGGTTGTAAAGGAAGGGAGAGGGCATGGGGTTATAAATGATGGTGGAATGTGATGATCATTATTATCCAAAGTACAGGTATGAAGACACGAATTAGTGTGGATACACTTATGTATACAACCAGAGATATGAAAAATCGTGCTCTATATATGTAATAAGAATTGTTGGGCTGGGGGTATGGCTCAAGCGGTAGCGAGCTCGCCTGGCATGCATGCGACCCAGGTTCAATCCTCAGCACCGCATACCAACAAAGATGTTGTGTCCGCCGAGAACTAAAAAATAAATATTAAAAATTCTCTCTCTCTCTCTCCTCTCTCACTCTCTCTTTAAAAAAAAATTGTAATGCATTCCACTGTCATATATAAATTAAAAAATCTTTGAATTTTTTTTTACAGTGAGAAATATAACTCTTGAGCACAAAGTGGACATACAAAATGGTCATTATTTCCACTTTTGTGTAGGCAAAATTACATCCAGAAGTTAGATAGTAAGTGTGGAATCAGAGGAAGGGGAATCTATTTAACTGAGTAGTTCTTTCATAAAATAAATCAGAAAAGAAGGATTATGGCATATTATAAAAAAGTCCTTTTCTCATACTTTCAACCCACCAACACTTAGGTAGTAACCACCAGTAAGAGTAGATTGTTTAAACTTTTCAGAAACTTTCCTGGACATATTCAAATATATTCAATAGTTTCCTAGACATACTCAAGCTGAACAATATGAAATCTCCCATTTGTTGGTTAGAAATTGCTGAATATCTGCAATTTCATAATGCCAACTAATATATCCTCTTGTTTATACGTAAGATATCATAATCTATAAACTGTTTTGTAATCCTCTTTTTCTCAATAATGCATAGTGGTCAATTTTCCATATCAACACATATCGCTGGCTCTACATTACTTTTTCAGTATCTCCCCAGTTTGGCATTGCATGGATGCACCATCCATTAATCAAATCCTTTATATAATGGTTATTGAACTTGTTTCCTGTCTTTTGCTCTCTTATTAATACAGTTAGAGAAATTACAAAGGGTCTTCAAACATGAAAGCTTCATGCTTCTATTTCCAGTCTAGGGACATGTCAACATCAGATACTGTGTTCATGGATTAGGTTTCTGTGCTTCTCTCCATTGTTGAAATTCTGAAATGCCCACACAATAATGAGAAATAGAGGAAAATCAACTAATATGTTATTAAATTTGTACATAGACCCTAGTGCATCCAAGTCTTCCTAATGTAAAAGATGCCCCCTGAGTTATAGTCATTGAATATTATTCCAGTTGAAAATTTCTGCCCTAAAGGCTTATTAGTATTGTTACTATTTACAGTTTTGCCTTTCATCCTTTTTATTGTTACCCCCCCCCACACACACACACACACACCGTGCTGCTCCCATTCAAGAAGTTTTGCCTGCACAATAAAGTAAAGCTTATTCCCTTGGCATTCTAGGTCCTTTTCCTCCATCTCCAGGGACTTTTCCAGTCTTGCTTCACCTCTACCACAGGTGTTCCATGCTACCACACCTGGCTGCATCCCCTCTCCTTTTATCCAGGCAGTTCCCTCTGTTTGGAGTGTCCTTCCCTCTCCGTTTTTCTGTGAGAAGTTGGCCAAGGATCACAGGCCACCTGAAATGCCACTTCTCAATCCTCCGGGGTTCCTTATCCCTTCCACTTCTGAAGGTAGCCTGATGCTGTAAGGAAAGCACATGCTTTCAAGTTTTCATGTTTAATCATGTGCATTTAGTCCCCAGCTTCTCTGCTTTCTTGCTGTGAGACCTGGAGCAAATTATTTCCTTTCTCTAAGCCCCAGTTTTTCTCCTGTGAAAAATGGCATGCAATCTCTTCATTACACCCAGAATATTTGAGAGAGCATGTAAGTTCATTGCTAAAAGGAAAGTGTTTATTCACAGATCACACGTGTAAAAAGATGTGTAAACAATTCTTCCCATTGAGTGGATGTGAGGTGTATCTTGAGAAGATTTGGTCTGATCTAGGCTTTATCAACTACTGAAGCCTTAATTATCACCATGGCTCCTCAGTCGTTTTCCTCTTTCTCTTTCCTTCCCTGGAATCCATGCTCTATCCAGGAGGGGCTAAGTACCTTGCCAGAGGGGATCTATGTAAAGGAAACACAAAATTTTGTGTTAACTAATAGCATCATTATATGTTTTAAAAATCTCTGTACCCACAAAAGTAATCAAAGGGCAAGAAAGTGAAAAGTAAGAAGGAGCTTAGAAGGGAAAAAGTTTTCTCCTGCATGTATTATCATGCTCTCAGGTTGAGATGCTGGAAATAATATCTGCCAAATGCTAGAATATTAAAAACAATATAAATGAGCCATGAGTAAAGAAGAATTTAATATTCTCAGATTCTCCTCTCCTTCTTGTGCAGAAAGAAAAGTGTGTCTTTGGTCAGAGTCCTCAGCTTACATCTGCTAATGGAGTTAGACAAATGAAGACCATAGGCCTGATCTGCACTAGGAATATGGAGAACTGCCAAAGACTGCATTTGAGAGAGTTTGGGGAAAGTTTTGAGAAAGAAAGTAGGAGTTGGAAACATCTGTTCTACAATGCAATATAAGAGAGAGAGAGGGAGAGAGCCAGAGTGGAAAAGATGATTTTGAAAGCCTTTTAGTGAATGTAATGAAAATAAGTCCCCTTATGCCATTTTCCAAGAGTCCAGAAAGGATCCTAATTGATTTTCAGTTACTTCCTAATACTCTTTGCTGACATGAAACCCGAGGAGGAGCCATTTTATCCCAGACTATAAATACTTAATATGTAGTACCCTTCTCTGGAGCCTAGATCGTCTCCCTTGAAGCTACAGTGCTGTGCTAACAACATTACGGCACACCACGCAGTAAGTTGGTCCTATATGTGTTTATCTCCCTTACCTGTTTATAACCACGCTGCTTGAAAGCACAGATGGTGTCTTAACTGTCTTTGTGTTTGGTCCCAGCTCCAGCTTAGGACACCTAGCTAGTGAAAAGTAGATGATGGAAAATTAGTGTGAAAGGAATGCATGGGTGATGGATGAATGAAATTGAATTTATAGGGCGATTTAGTTAGCAACATCTGTGACAGTATTGCCTTTCTCCCCCAGCAGCTGATGGACTCTGAGCAACCAGTGGGTCCTCTCTTTATCCTCAGCACCTGCACCATGTCAACCACATAATAAACGTTGGGCTAATTTTATATCCCCTAGAATGAATATTTCAACACATAAAGATTGGAAGAAAACAAAACAATCCAAGTCCAGACGGAAACAAGCTGCCTCGGGGAGACCGCCGTACAGACGCGTAGGGACCGCCCCACACCGGGTGGGTGAAAGCTACTGGAATCCCCCAGCAGATCCTTGGGAAGCGCAGGAGATCGCTGAAGCCTGCATATCCTCCGCGGAGGAAGGGGGCGCTGTAGCCGAAAGCAGCTGTCGGTTCGCGCGGCGCCGCTCTTTGGACGGGGACGGAAGCCGTCCGTAGGACCCGCGGCGGGCCCGCTTCGGCTGCTCCGCTGGCCTGGTCTCTCTCGGCGTCTTCACTGTGCGCTCCGACCGGCACCATGGGGAAGCGGGACAATCGAGTGGTGAGTACTCGACGGGGGGAACAGTGGGGTGACTGGGGGCCGGGCGGCAGGAAAACGGGTCTTCTCGCCCTTTCCGGCTCGGCGGGAGGGCTAGCGGCTACGCTCGGACCTGGGGCCGCGAGACCTAGCACCCTCCGCCATCCCAGACGCGCGTGCGCCAGGCACACAGTTGGCGCCTTCGGGTCCCCAACTTTCTCCCCGGCCCTCCCTTTTGTCCCCCACCCCTCCGCTCCCTCTGGCACTGCTCCCTAGCTCCCTTTCCTCCCGCTCCTGCGCCAGCAGTGCCCACTTTCTACAACCGCAAAGACCCAGGGGAAATCTGCCCCTTTCTGTCTGTAATTCCGAACTCTGAGGCTCGTGGAGGCTCCGGGACTCTCCCGTTCCTCTGGATCGCGCAGCCCAGCTCGGCGCCTAGGCCTAGGACATGGCTTCTGCACCCGGGGGCCAGCAGCGCGCCAGGCTTTAGCTACGGATGGGCTAGCATTTGAGAACTGGGGTCGCAGCATTCGATCGCATACTGTCTGGCGCCAGCAAAAGGGATGTGTGGCGTAGAAATAGTTGGCTATGGAGTTCCGAGCAGAGTTCAGTGCCAGTTTTGGTACTTCGTGAATTAGGTGACTTAGGTTACTTTTTCCCCCTGAACCTGTTATAAAAGGGGATCATTATTACCACAACCTCGCAGAATAGTTAGGACCACAAAAGGCATGATGCCCAAGAGAGTGTGTGGCATGAAGATTACTACTCAGTGAGAAAAGGATTAAGTAATCCATTGCAGGAGGAGTAATAAATGATACCTGATAGATGTTTGAGGTTCTCAGGGCATTCCAAAGAGAAGGTACTTTGGACAAGGAAAGCTAATCGCTGGAGGTGCAGAAGGGCTGCGGATTGGTTTCAAAAGCCCAGGTTCTGAATCAGGTTGTATGAGCAGTAAACCTGAGAGAATAGTGAATAAGAATGGGTTGTAGCCTGGTGATTCTTGGGCTTGTGTATTACAGAATTTTAATCATTGATTAGCAAAATGAGGAAAATATAAAGCTAATGTACTACGTTCTAGGTTTTGGGTTTTTTTTTTAACAATTATTTGCGGGAGTGTTTGTGTATGTGCTAAAAGAGCCTCACTGTTATGAAATGACATTTCCCAACTTTCTTAAAAGCGTTTATTTTATGTTGTCTGTAAATGGAAAATATCTAGGAACCACTGAGGTAGTGAACCTTGATTATAAAGTTGAAGAATATTCTTTTTTCCTGACTGCAAGACTTTGCTGTGGTGTCTTGATGACCGTAGTTGAAACGGTGTTGTGCCAGGCATCAAACTTAGGTTTGAGATGTTGAAATGTTTGGACTCTTTTAATGTTCTTGGGCCTTGAACTTAGAAATCATCTGACTTTGGCTGCAGTTTTTTTATAGAGACCTAAAGTGTTTCATTTTACTGGGAGGAAAATTTTGGTTTTAAAGCATTTGAAAAACTTAACCAAATTAGATTAATTTACTAGAGCATTTTGATAACAACTGCGTACTTTTTTGTATGCTATCATGGCACAGAGTGTTCTGGTAACATTTTGTTTGTACTTCAAAGATTATGAGAATAAAAACATGAAATTAAGAGGCAGAAGACACATATGGTCTAATTCAGTCAACTTATTGCACAGAGAAAGGGATAGGACTGTTTCAACTGGGACTGGTTAAACTTGGGTCATGTGACCCATTTTTGTTTTTAAGACTTTTTTAAAAAACATTTTAAGATTCACAGCAAAAATTCTGCTTACACACATACATAACCTCCCCATTATCAGCATCCCCTCTATTTGTTCTAATTGATGACCTACTCTAACATATCATTGTCAACCAAAGTCAGTAGTTTGAATTAGGGTTCACTCACTCTTGGTGTTATACATTTGATTATCTTGAAAACAATTCAGGTTCATTCTTTCTTTGATGATAATATCATAATTTTATAGATTATAGGGCTATTTTTCCACAAAACCATTAAATTTCAGGTTGAACAATTTTTTTAAAATAGACTTTATTTTTTAGAGCAATTTTAGGTTAACAGCACAATTGAACAGAAAGTACAGAGAGTTCCCTTATACTCCCACACATGTACAGACTCCCCCATTATCAACATCGGGCACCAGAGTACATTTGTTAAAATTGATGAACCTATGTTAACCCATCATGATCACTCAGAGTCAAGAGTTTACATTAGGATTCTCTCTGTGTACATTTTTGAACAGTCTGTTAAAATAGACATTTTAATTCTTGGGATCTCTAAAGGGCTCTTGAGTTCATGATGGCCACCCTTTATGCCTTTTGTTTTCTGGAAGATTTCTTCTTCTTTTTTTTTTTTTTTCTTGTTAGTTTGTGCCCTGTAAAATAGATGTATCTTATAGATAAAAGTAGGTAGTGAAACTAACAAATTCTGTACAGTGTGTCCTTAGTAGTTATACCACATTACTCTTTTCAAATACCTGTCCAAATAAATATCCCTTTGAGCCCAATTTGCCCTTCTGGGTTTCACATGTGCCACAGGCCTATAATCCCAGTGGCTCAGGAGGCTGAGGTAGGAGGATCACGAGTTCAGAGCCAGCCTCAACAAAAGTGAGGTACTAAACAACTCAGTGAGACCTTGTCTCTAAATAAAATACAAAAAAATAGGGCTGGGCATGTGTGTGGTGCAGTGGTCAAGTACAAGAAACTGCACAGTCTTCATATTTTAGATTTTATTTTCATATTTTAATGAAATATGAACATACAGATTTCATATTTTTATTATTTTCATACTTTTTGGGATTCATAGTAAAAGAATTGATCCTTGGTGATTTAAAGAACAAAGTATTGGGCAAGGGCTGTTGCTCAGTGGTAGAGCGCTTGCCTATGTGTGAGGAGGCACTGGGTTGGATCCTCAGCACCCTAAATAAATAAATAGTGTCCATCTGCAACTAAAAATATTTTTAAAAAAAACAATAAAGTATTAAGTGTTTTGCATGGAACCTAGCACATAAAATTTACTTTTTAAATATCACTATTTTAATTGAACTAAATAATTAAGGCATTTGGCTTGTACTTAAGCAGAATAAGGATAATATTTTTGGTCAAAAGCTTAAATGTAAGCCTAACTACTTCAATAGTAGCTCAGGTAGTTATACTTTAAATTGCCTATAATTAGTAGCATATGAGTATATTACGTTACTATTATTTTCCTCTGAACTAAAAAAATAGGGTTATGGGATTAGAAATGATGGTGGAATGTGTTGGACGTTAGTATCCAAAGTACATGTATAAAGACACGAATTGGTATGAATATATTTTGTATACAACCAGAGATATGAAAAATTGTGCTCTATTTGTGTAATAAGAATTGTAATGCATTCTGCTGTCATATAAATTAATTAATTAATTTAATAAAAGTAAAATTAAAAAATAAGTTGGTATGGACTTTAGGAAAGCTGCTTGGCAATTGACTTTTTTTAATGAAAATGAAAAATTGCCACTCTGCCATTTTTTTATACATTATAGTTCATCTCTCTGAATTGGAGTGACAGTATTTTGGTTGAATTTTTCTCATTTTGATTACCTTTGTACTTAAAGGGGCTGGGGTTGTGGCTCAGCACTCGCCTAGCACGTGCAAGGCCCTGGATTCGATCCTCAGCACCACATAAAAATAAATAAAATAAAGGTATTAGGATTATAACTAAACCTAGCATGTGCGAGGCCCTGGGTTCGATCCTCAGCACCACATAAAAATAAATAAAATAAAGATATTAGGATTATAACTAAAAAAAAAAAAAGACTATTTGGCCAGGTGTGGTGGCGCATGCCTATAATCCCAGTGACTCAGGAAGCTAAGGCAGGAGGATCAAAGAAGTTCAGAGCCACCCTCAGCAACTGTGAGGCACTAAGCAACTCAATGAGGTCTTGTCTCTAAATAAAATACAAAATAGGGCTGGGAATGTAGCTCAATGGTTGGGTGCTCCTGAGTTCAATCTCTGGTACCAACCCCCCCAAAGAAAGAATGTTTGTATATATATTTTTCTCATTTATAAGTAATGAGTTACATAAGTGGTGAAAAGGGAGGTCTCGCTTCACCTTGTGGTGCATTCGGATTTTTTTTTTTAAGTATTTGTAGTTATTTATTAAAGTGTTATCTATTTTTTGGCAACTTGCTTTTACTCTAGAGAAATCTTGGAGACATCTTGTCATATAATATTTATTTTTTAGTTATAGTTGGATACAATATCTTTAATTGATTTATTTATTTACTTTTATGTGGTCCTGAGGATCGAACCCAGGGCTTCGCCTGTACTAGGTGAGCACTCTACCACTGAGCCACAACCCCAGCCCCTGAAAGTATACTTTAATATATTTAATGAGTCCCAGTTGGGTGGGGGGTTGGGTGTTTTTAGTTTTTGCTGTTGTAGTAATTTAGTGAACATCCTATGTATTTGTACTCCGGAAATAAACAAGTTTTATAGTTTTAAACTTAAATATTTTGCCATTAGTTACAACTAAAATTATGACAGCACCAAAGAAAGAAGGTGATAGATGTGAATAATATTCCTATTTTATAAATGATGAACTTGCACATTGTACTTCTTTTTTAAAAATATATTTTTTTAGTTGTAAGTGGACACAATACTTTCATTTTATTTATTTATATGTGGTGCTGAAGATTGAACCCAGGGCCTCACACATGCTATGGGAGCGCTCTACCACTGAGCCACAACCCCAGCCTTCATGTTGTACTCTTATTAGGATTCAGTGTTGTTATTTAGGCTGATAATTCCTCTGTTTCAGTTTTAATGAAATATTTGAGGGTTATATATTTTTTTAAAACTACATGTCTCTACCATTAGATATTCACATCCTTCCCTGATTCTCTAAACATCTTTGACATTGGGAATGCCTGACATTACTTGTAGGAAAATTATGTCAAAGGTTTGTTTTTCATCCCAAGTAATTAGGCTCAGAGCCTATCAATTGAATGTAAGTAGTTGTTCACTATACCAGAAAAATCTGGAGGTATATTTATATTTGTTATAAAGGTAAAAATGTTTGTCATTTATATATTTTGATAAATGAAATGCAACAGAATCATTGTTACCTTTGTTATTCCTTTTAGAATGTTGGGTATTAGTAGTAGGACCTTAAAATCAAACTTAATAGTAGTCACTTTGAACAAGAATTCTTTTTATTTAAAAAAGTAGAAGAATTTTATAAATATTGACTTTAAATAATTTTGGAGAAATTGAATATAATGGTAAAGAAGAGTTTGAGACTGAATTAAAAATCAGACTTTATGTGTGTAGCAAAGTGAATTTTTATAAAACAACATCTCTCTGATAGACATCCTGATTCACAGAGAAACTTTTTTCTCTACTTTATCTCTGTGTTTAGAAAAAACAAAATCTCTATAAAGTGTTTTTCTGTCACAGTAAGTATAATATAGAGAGTACAGTTGAGAATTTTTGTGTTTTTTAATATATAATATATATATATATATTTAAGTTGTAGATGGACACAATATCTTTATTTTGTTTATTTATTTTTATATGGTGCTGAGGATCAAACCTCGTGCCTCACATGTGCTAGATAAGCGCTCTACCACTGAGCCACAATCCCAGCCCCCTGTAGGTTGTTTTTTTTTTTTTGAGCCAAAATATTTTAACCATTTTTTAAAATTTTTTATTTTTTAATTTGTTCTAATAACCCATTATTTAAGTGTATAGTTCAGTGGCATTAAAGTGCCAGTGGTGTAGCTCTGTGGTAGAGCACCCCTGGCTTCAATCCCCAGTACTACAAGAAAACATACAAAACAAAACTCCCAAACTCCTCTTCTCCAGATTCCTCATATAAAGGAAATCATGTTTGTTTCTTTTTGCATTTATCTGATTTCACTTAGCATAATGTTTTCAAGTCTCATCCAAGTTGTATTTATCAGCATCTCATTCCTTTGTAAAGCTAAATTGTGCGTGTGTGTGTGTGTGTGTGTGTGTGTGTGTGTGTGTGTATAAAAGACACATTTTGTTTGTCCACTCATCTCTTGGTAGCGTTTTCCATGATTTCACCTTTGAGTCCCTGCTTTCAATTCTTTGAGAGTAATTTTATACTTTGAAGTGGAATTGGTGAATCAGACAGTAGTTCTAGGTTTAACTTTCTGAAAAGCCACCAAATTGTTTTCCACAGCAGCTGGACCATTTATTTCCTGTTCATTGTACACAACAGTGCCAGTTTCTCCATACTTTCTTCACCCTTATGACTTTTTTTAAAACAGAAATCCTAATGCTTGGAGATGCCATGTTTTAGTGATTTTATTAGTATTTCTCTGAAGACTAATGATGTTAAACATTTTATCATGTGTTTACTGGCAATTTTCTGTATGTCTGAAGAAGATAATCAAGTCCTATGCCCATTTTTGAATTGGGTTATTTGAGTTTTTATTAAGTTATCATAGCTCTTTATTCTTTATTCGCTTTGGATATTCACCTCTATTATATTTGCAAATATTTTCTCTTTTGAGTTATCTTTTTACTCTTTTGAAATGTTCTTTGATGCATGAGCACTTTTTTGCAGTTCTGGGGATTGAACCCATGTGCACTCTACCACTGAGCTACATCCCAGCCCTCTTTTATTTTGAAAAGGGTTCTCACTAAATTGCTTGGGCTGACCTGGAATTTGCAACCCTCCTGCCTCAGCCTCCAGAGTTGCTGGGATAACAGACATGCACCACCACACTCAGTGCACATCTTTAAAATTTTTATGAAGTCCAATTTTTTTGTTGTTGTTGTCTGGGTGCAACTTAAATTGTTATGTTTGCATTTGGCAAATAAAATTTCCATCGGTATAGTACAGTATTTCCTGGGATAGTAGAAGGAACAGTAAATTTAGACTTAGATCTATCTTTTTTTGGAGACTGGGTCTTGATAAGTTGCTGAGGCTGGCCTCAAATTTGGAATCCTCCTGCCTCAGTCTACTGAGTCATTAAGACTATAGGCATGTATTACTACACCTAATTTGGAATTGAGTTTCTTAGTTTGTTAATGAGCTTAGTGTTTATTACCTTCACTGGGTTATTGGGCCTTAGAAGGAAATATTATAAAGCCATCAGTAGGTAAGAGGTATCATTATTTCATCAACTCCCTGGTAAAACAACATATTTTCTGCGAAATGTTACCTACTTCATAAACTTTCAAGACTTAATGGAAGATTAAATTTAATTCTGATAGTCAGAAGTTTGTTAGATTGGGCTGGGGATGTGGCTCAAGCAGTAGTGCGCTCACCTGGCATGCGTGCGGCCCGGGTTCGAACCTCAGCACCACATACAAACAAAGATGTTGTATCCGCTGAAAACTAAAAAATAAATATTAAAAAAAAAGAAGTTTGTTAGATTGCTTAATTGGATATAGTATGCATTTATAATAAAGGTTACTTGATGTAAGTGAGCTTTTACGTTTTTAATGGTTATTTTAAGGGAACTAATTTGTGTTCTTTCCTCAAGGCTTACATGAATCCAATAGCAATGGCCAGATCAAGGGGTCCAATCCAGTCTTCAGGGCCAACAATCCAGGATTATCTGAACCGACCAAGGCCTACCTGGTAATTGTGCAACAGTTTACCTTTTTATAAGGTTTTGATAAATTTTAAAACTTTATTCTTATAACTTTTATTGATTGCCAAGTGATTGCCAGATAAGTGGGTTTTTTAAAGTAATATTTGACATATCCCTTCTTTTGAATGTATGAAACACATGCACAACTGCAAAACAGCATTTTATTGAATCCACCACCCAGTATAACTAAAGCACTGCCATATCACATTTTCATATCAATCTTTTCTCTATCCCTTAAAAGACTATTTAACTTTGTGGTATCCTAAGTTAAAAATAGCGGATTTGAATAATCATGCCAAGTTTTAGGAAGGATAATGTTCAGCTTTATTTCTAGTTTCATCTTCTGGCTTTTCAGTAATTAAAAAAACAACAACTCACTAAGTAGCTCTGATTTTTTTTTTTATGTTAAACATGTATTTTTTAATTGTCGATGAACACAGTATTTTATTTTTATTTTTATGTAGTGCTGAGGATCGAACCCAGTGCTTCACGCATGTCAGGAGAGTGCTCTTTCCTCTGAACTACAACCCCAGCCCCTACCTCTGATTTTTTATGAGTAAAGCATTATACCACAGACCTTACTTTTTTAGTTATATCTTTCCTTATTATTAATACCATGCTCCTAAAGTAACACATGACAAGTCGGAGCCATTAGCTTCAGAATCCTTCAGAATTTCAGAGTGCCCTGAAAGCCAGGCAGCTATGGCTGAAAGGTATGCTTTATGTAGTAGGGAATACTTTTGAGTTAAATGAAAGTTTTATTTACCTCCTACTGCATGCATGAGTATAAACAGAATGCATTTTACTTTTAAAATGAAAAGAACTTCAAGGGGAAAATGCTCAAGGTAGTGTATTCTCTGTGGTCAGAGGTCTTTAAGACAACCTTCAAGTGAGTCATTGGTAGGAAGACTTGCAACAGGTAGTATACTCAAGGTAAGATTTATTACACTGAAAGGATACCAGGTAAAATCAACAAAGTGAAGAGGCACATAGGACAAAATCCAGGAGAAATCAGGCACAGACTTCCAAGGGTCCTTGCCTAGTGGAATCATGTAAGATGTACTTAAATCTTTTTGAAAGGAGTGAGACAATACATGTGAGATGTTGTTAACTAAGGAGGCTTATTAGTGCCCTGGGTTTTTTCTGTGGACCGATCAGACTTTGCCTTTCATGTTCCAGAATTCCAACCTGACTCTGCCTGTCACATTCCGAAATTCCAGATTCCCAGAAGGAAAGCAGATACTCTGCCTAAACTATGTTGCTTATACAAACGTTTAGGCAGAGTAAGCTACTTGTAATCAGGGAATGGTAAGAACCTTCAAAATTCAGGTTCTCATGTGTTCACTTCAACAGTACTGGGATGTAGGTATATTAGAATATTAAAATTTTATTTGAATTTTTATTGTCTTTTTTATAAGCCTCCATCTAATTTGAAGTGCTTGAAATTTTATTTGTACTTTTTATTTTTTTAAGGGAAGAAGTGAAAGAGCAACTAGAAAAGAAAAAGAAAGGCTCCAAGGCTTTAGCTGAATTTGAGGAGAAAATGAATGAGGTTTGTAAATATTACCTTTTAAAGAAATAGACCAATTTTTTTTTTCCTTATAACAAAAATGAAATCATATTTGCTTCTTTTTTAATCAAGGGTTTGGGGATACCTCTTTAGGTTAAAGGAGTATAGTTTAGTGTTATTTTTTATAGTTTCATATTTAAATGTGTGTTCTCTTTAAATAAGAATAACCATCTTGTAGTAACGTAAATCATCTAAGTTATCTGAGCTTTAGTTCTTTCCTCCCTCTGTGCTCCCCATCTTAGGAATTTTATAGTGATGTTTGCTTGCTTTGATTACAAACATGTATGTAGTATTTCAACCATAGTACAGATTAATTCAGCTTTTACAGTAGCCATCCTTGTTTAAACCAAGCCTTAGTCTCAATAAAAATATCTTTTCTTCCTCTCAGTATTCTATGGAAACTCCCATACCTTAATATTCTCTTCAAAATGAGCTAAAAGACACCCTTGGTAATAGGGCCAAGGGTTGGCCCCTGAACCTTTTTTGTTGCCCAGCTGCCCTTAAACTCTTAGTCTCAGATGATCCTTCTGCCTCAGTCTCCCAAGTAGGTGGGACTGTGGAGAGGCATCCAGCGCCTAGTTTGGGGGTTCTTCCTGCAAAGAAGGCATAAGCCACCTGAGAAATTAAAGTCTAGAATAATTAGTGAAGAACAAAAGACAAAGTTGGAGAGAGAGTTTCAAAAGGGGAGTTCCTGATAGGTCTAGCCCACTCAGAAGCTGGAGCTGAACAATTAGAAAATGGCTCCCGTGGTTTAATTTAAGGGGATACATCAAAGGCAGGGGTAAGGTTTCAAGGGTAGAGTCTTGCTTTTGTTGTCTTGCAGTCAGCAGGTTGATTGGCATCTTGGCAGGTCACCCCATCTCTAGTGCTGTGTGGGACATGGCAGAGCAGAATAGGAATTCACAGTGTCTCTGGGCAGTCTTACACAAAGGAAATGTCCACTGGAAGTTCCCATACACCAGATTTTCCTATTCACTAGGCTACAATGCATAACACAGTCCACACACAGCCTACACACGGCTCTCAACATGGTACTATAGACATATGGCCACCAGACCTACCTTGTATAATTAGAAGCTGAAGTGGAGAGAAGTATTAGAAGATGAAGGAAAGGAAATAACGGTTGTCTCTCTCTACTAAGTATATTAGTACTGGATTGATAGACTCTTATCGTGTTTATAACCTTCTTGCAGAATTGGAAGAAAGAACTAGAAAAACACAGGGAGAAATTATTAAGTGGAAACGAGAGCTCATCAAAAAAAAGACAGGTAGTACATTTCTAACTTATTGCTATTCTTAATTCAGTTTTCACATTAATGCTGTATATTTCTATTAATAGATGCATTTGAAAACTTATTTAGATCTCTATTTGTTTCCATTTAGAGAAAGAAAAAAGAAAAGAAGAAATCTGGTAGGGTGAGCAAAAGTTTTCTATTTTTCTAAATGTTATAAATAAAGAGTCTGCAAAAAAAGTAAGAATAATATATTTAAACCTGTATACTAAAAGTAACTTAGACTCTATATGGGTCAAGCAGTGTGGTTGCCATGATGAGAGGTGTTCTATCAGTACCATGAAAGAAAGATGCCAATCTCCTTAAAACCTAGTTAACTCCCTTGTTATGATTTAAAGAGCACAATTGACAACTTATTGTCACTTTTTGTGGGGGGAGATGGCTTTTATACTTTAATGTTTAAATCTTATGAATATGGCATCTGTTTCTCAGACATTAGATTGATTTCACTAAGTACTTTCAGCGACTTAGCAAAGGAAAAAAATTCCCGCATCTCACAAGCTTTAATTGTTTTGTGCTTGGTCAAGTATTCATCTTCTTCTTCATCAAGCTCTGATTCTTCCAGCAGTTCTTCAGATTCTGAAGATGAGGTAAGGATTGCTTGTAATAGTTCATCAAATAATATCTCTAACTTTTTAATTTCAAGAGGAGAAACCTATTGAAATATCTGTTAGAAATGTTTATTTCCAGGTTTTGATTAATTATAAGGTAGAGCACAATAAGTGAAATAAGACATTTAAATATTAGTATTTTAAAAAAATTTTTTTAATTTGTTCATATAAAAATATTAGTAGAAAAAAAAGATTTGAAAAATCCAAAATCCTATTTGACTAAGTGCTAGGGATTACATGTGATTCAAATCATTTGACTTTGACTTTGTAAAACAGGAAAGGGATGTTACATTGTGAATATTAATTAAAGAAAAATATTTACAAGCCAATCTTATTAAGTGTTATTCATTAAGAAAATTTTGATATTAGTTAAATGCATAAATTATATTTCTGAAACAAAGCAAATGTTTTCTATAGGATAAGAAACAAACAAAACGGAGAAAGAAAAAGAAGAACCGTTCTCATAAATCTTCTGAAAGCTCCACTTCAGAAACTGAATCAGACAGTAAGGTAAATTATTATTATTTAAATTGTTAACATTTTTGTAACAGAAACATTAAGTTTTTCTTTTAGTTCTTCCTGTCTTAAATTGCTCTTAAGAAATGAGATACCATTTGATCCTATGACTGATTTACTTACTAACACATGTAGCATTTAGTAATTCTCCAAACTTTTATATTTCCATGTCTCTACATCTCTATAACATTATTTCCCTATATTCATAAATAAATTGTAATTCAGAGGAGTAGTAAGGTTCTGATTAAATTCACTAGTGTTAGAATTGGAATTTGAATCAGTATCTTCTAATATCTGTTCCAATATCCTTTCTTCTGTACTGTACCTAAATTTGTTCTGTATTAACCAGAATTGTGAGGCACAACTGGCTCTTCAACTTTAGAGATCATTTTTAAAAAGGCATGAGATTTTCTATAAAAATATTGATTCTGGGGACTGGGGGCATAGGTTAGGTGTAAAGCTTTTCCTTAGTATGCATGAGTTCAGTTCTTAGCACTAAAAGAAAAACTTGATTCCTGGGCTTTATTTCCAGAAGGTTTTGTTGTTGTTGTTGTTTTCCCCCAGAGTTTGATTAGTAAATCTATATTTTAACAGATGCCTTATATGACTTTGATGCCCATGAACCACAGTTTGACAAACAGCATACTACAGTCTCAGGAAACTGAACCAACAGTTTGAATTTTATAAAAAGTTTCTTTTTGTCCCAGTGAGATTTCTTCTGGCAAAAAGCCTAATGTCTAGAAAGTACTCAGTGTTGGTTTCTTATTTGTCTTTTAAAGCAGCAGTCTTATTAGTGATAGTTAACATTAAATTAAATGTGCAGTATATGTTAAGCGCATAGTGTTTGACTTTTACCTTCTTTAATCTCAGCAATCCTAGAGAGTAGTTATTTGTTAATCAACTTTATGAATAAGAAAACTGAGGATTAGAGAAGCTAATAGATAAATCTAAGGGATTAAAAGCAGAAATTCTTGGCTGGGTGTGATGGCACACCCCTGTAATCCCAGCAGCTCAGGAGGCTGAAATAGGCGGATTGCAGGTTCAAAGCCAGCCTCAGCAACTTAGTGAGGCCCTATCTCTAAATAAAATACACAGAGGGCTGTGGATGTGATTCAGTGGTTGAGTGCCCTTGAGTTCAATCCCCAGTATTAAAAAAGAAAGAAAGAAAAAAAAGAAATTCTTGCCTCCACTCCTGATGAAGAAAGTGGGTGGCAGATCAGGTTGATGGATATATGAGCACAGGGTGAATTAGAACTACAACATATGTGACCATCATAGACAAAGATTATTTCAGATAATTTTAAGGGTTCATAGATTTGATATATAACCAGATAAATTAAACATCCTATTCTGCTTCCAAGCAACTGTCTATGTAATGGAGATTTTCCTTTTGTTTTCAGGATAATATGCTGATATTGGAGTAAATTTTTTTTTACTCATAGAGCAAATCTTTTTTCTTGTCCTTATTCTATAATGTCCTTATTCTATCATTGACATTTAAAATTGATATATATTTACAGATATATATATTTTTTTATTTGTTTAGGATAGTTTGAAAAAGAAAAAGAAATCAAAGGATGCAACTGAAAAAGAAAAGGTAACTATATTTTCATATTGCCTTAAGACACTCTGTTGTGCACAACCTTAACCTCAGGAAATCAACAATAGCTGAGCATGGTGGCGTACATATGTAATCCCAGTAGCTTGGGAGGCTAAGGCAGGAGGATCACAAGTTCAAAACCTGCCTCAGTAACATGGTGAGGCCCTAAGCAACTTAGTGAGACCATGGTTAGGAACCCCTGGGTTTGATCCCAGCTACCAAAAAAAAAAAAAAGGAACAGTAATATTAACAACAGCATTAGTTAATAACAGGAAATTTTGGGCTGGGCTTGTGGCTCAGCGGTAGAGTGCTTCCCTTTCACCTGAAAGACCCTGGGTTCGATCCTCAGCCCACATAAAAATATGTGAATAAAATAAAGATATTGTGTTCAACTACAACTAAAAACTAAATTTAAAAAATAACAGGAAATTTACTTAATAAATCAGAAGATTTTTTTTTAAATATCTTTATTTTTATGTGGTGCTGAGAATTGAACCCACTGCCTCATGCATGCTAGGCGAGTGTGCTACCACTTGAGCTACATCTCCAGCCCCCAGAAAATTTATTTATTTTGCTTTTATGGTATTTCATGTTGATATAAAGAAATGTTTTAATTTGAATTCATTATTAAGGACCAGCAGAAGAGTATCCTGAAGAATTTGAATTTGGATAGATTAATGGGTCACGTCATATTTAAAATAGAGATTAAACATTTCCTTTGCTGCTTCAAGACATTTTAAGGCCATTTAAATTAAAAAAAAAAAAAACTTTCAGATTGAATATACCATGGGTAAATTTTGAAAATCTTTTATCTTATCAGAACATATTTTCTCTTCATATGTGACTTACCTAAAATTTTATTTTCTTTTTTGTCCAAAGAGACTGGTCTCACAATATTGCCTAGCCTGGCCCTAAACTCCTGTACTCAAGTGATTCTCCTGCCTCAGCCCACTGATAAGTTAGGACTTTGGGCACACACCCAGCATGACTTATCTGTAGTTAATGCTAATTTAGCATATTAACTGATCAGAGGAAAGAAACCATAAATAACATTGTGGAGTTTTTCAAAATGATGTCATTGTTTCCTTCTGAAACTTGCTTTTTTAACTGAGCATTACTATTGATATTTATCCTTGTTGATACTTTAAGTTCATTTCTTTTGTTTATATTATTCACTACAATTTATTTCTCCTGCTGTGGGTGAACGTTTAGATTGTTTTCATTTTTCAATAATACAAACAATTCTACTGTTTATATTTCCTATCCAGTTCTCCTTTTTCACAATTTATTGTTAAGTCAGATATACCTGGGAACTATAATTTCTGGGTTACAGGATATGCATACATTTAATGTGTCTACATTTTGCTCAGTAACAGTGCTTGTTATTAATTTGCAATCCTGCTAGTAGTAAATGAAAGTACCCTTGTCTCACATACTTGTTGATACTGTGAGACTTCATTTTTGCCAATGTAAGGTATACAGATGGTATAAAGAAATGAAAGTGTCTTCATTTGCTTATTAGACATTTAAATGTCATTTTTTCTGTATTGCCTATTCCTAATCTTTTTTTTCAGTGCTGGATTTTGAACCCAGGACCTCATATATGCTAAGCAAGCATTCTGCCATCCAGTTATAACCCTAGTCTCTTTTCTTTCCTAGGTTGTAACAGATATATTTTGGATACTAATCTTTCAATTATATAATTGATAATTTGCTTTAAAATTCTGTCGTGTGTAATTTAAGGAATTAGGGAAGATATTGCATCTATATAGATATGAAGTTCTTTCTAAGTTATTTAATAAAAGGATTGCTTTGTTGGAATTAAGGATTTAAATCATGGTAAATGTCATCATTTTTAGACATTTCTAAATTGAAAAATGAATGATTTTCTGATAAATGGAAGGATTTCTAATTAGAACTTAGAAACCATAAAATTATTTTTTTGAGTTAAGATACTTGTTATTTATTTTTCATAGGACATTAAAGGATTCAGTAAAAAAAGAAAGATGAATCCTGAAGACAAACCTTTATCATCTGAGTCCTTGTCAGAATCAGATTATATTGAGGAGGTAAGTAAGAGAAATGGAAGTTATTCAGTTTCAGAATACATTTTTTCAGAGTATAACTGCGTATGACTAGTATTTTGATAATTAACCATATTTCCACAAATCTTTCAAATCTGAGATATTTTATTTTTATTTTTCTCATATTATCTTCTTAATGTATACATTCTGACTTCATGAAAGAGGCTGTATAATGTACACCAGAAACCCAGCATTTGCTTACATGGTTACCATAGAATATCGCACATACTGACTTCTTGTTTTGAGTTACTATTTGGGGAGTAGGAAGGTATGGAAAAATTGTTGGCATGACTTCAGTTTTCTCATCTGTGAAGCAAGAAAGGAGAATTAGGTCATCTGCAATCCCTTTCAGCTCTAACAGTTGCTAAGATTATTTTTACTCTATTAGTATTAGAGTCCATTTTTAGTTAATTTTAGCTCAGTAAGTTACCATCTTTGAAATGTTTCTCCCTTGACCTTGGTTTCCTCATCTGCAAATTAGGAATTTATCATATTATTTAAATTGTGACAACTAAGTGAGACAATAAATTATTAAAGGCCTTATGGTAAGTCCTGGGACAGAGTAAAGGTGGCTAAAGTCTACATAACTCTTGATAGAACTGTAAAATCTCACCTAGGGTTTCACTAGTCATTGAATTTTTCAAGCTGCAACTTTCCATAGAGATCAACTTATTGATCTTTCAACAGTATAACATGAGAGTCTTGCCCTTTGTTTAAAGCACACTCACACGGGAACTGGTTTTCCTGATTTCTTCCTTACTGTGTTGGGTTCCTGCATACACCCTGTCCAAGTCTTTCTCTATCCATCCTGTTTCTCATCACCTCTCTTCTCTTTTTGTTTGTGCCTTATCTCTTTACTGATTTCATTGTCTTTGGTTTGTAATAGTGGCCCTCAGTCCTATCAGACCTATTGTCCCTATGTTGTAGCAGTATTTTGTAATGCTCCCTGAAATAAAATTTGTAGCTTATATAAAGTATCTACACTATTTTTTACACTACTATCCCCTAAGAAATATAAAGAAATGAAAGTAATTATGTTTTTTTAATTATATTTTAATATATAAATGATTAAGTGTGACAACAATGAATGAAGTAAAATATTCTTCACTGATATTTGCATTTCTGGGGCATGCTTTATAGCTTAAAATCCAGAACAAAATACTCTGTGTTTATATTTACAGTCAGTTTATTTTCTGTATCATAAACAGATTCATTACATGAATTATTAGTACACTATTCAATATCACATAGCATATACAGAGCTCTTCTGGACATTGCATTAGAGCATCCCTTGCCTCTGTCTGTTAAATGTATATACAGTACACCTGTTACCAGCTCATCATTGTAAGGATAAGAATAATAACAAAAAAGTAATTTCCTAATTGTTCTTTAGAGAGAGCTACCACAGTTTTGCGAGCTAATGGCCTCTAATGCTAGTGGCCTCTACCTTTAGTCCTTATGCCTCCTTACGTTGTCAACTACATTTTAATATGCTTGTGTTATGTACTTATTCAGCATTTAGGCAATTTTAATACTCTGATTTTACATTAATCACCTCTGTCTGCCTATATGATAACAAGTAAAGCTTAATATTACATATCTTACATTTAGACTTAACATTTAATATACATAAACTCATAGCACCTTTCAATTTAATTTAAATCCAGTGTACCACTTTTTAAAAGATGGAAATAAAATGTAAATGGGGTTGTAAATGTTACTTCAAAGAATTTTAATCATTTCATACCTTTTGTTGATACCATAGAGTGAGATAAATACCATATTGTCCCTTGGAAATGGATACTACCTCCTTTTTTATGGATGATGAAACTGAGGTGGGATTCAGATCCTGGTATGTTTTTTGAGAGCTCCAGATTTTTTTCCCACAGTACCACATTGTTTTAGGTGCTAAAAGGGAATATAAGAGAAGCCTCCCCAGAGATTTAAAAAATCTTAATTTTCTTTTATATATATTTTTATTGAAACCTCATTGAGATATAATGGGTTATTTAAAATATGATTTGATTGTTGACATTTTTTAAAATATTTTTTTGTTGTTGTTGACAGACAATACTTTTATTTTATTTATTTGTTTTTGTATGGAGCTGAGGATCAAACCCAGTGCCTCACCCATGCAAGGCAAATGCTCTACCAACTGAGCTACAATTCCTGCCCCTTGAAATGTTTTTATACGTAACTTTCGAAGATACATTAGGGAGTGAAAGAAAAATGCATTGAGTACAAATTACATAGTTTGTCTTCACAAAAATTTTGACTTTTTAGGTACGAGCAAAAAAGAAGAAAAGCAGTGAAGAACGAGATAAAGCAACAGCAAGTATCTCTTATGTTTTTACATGACAACAGCAGAATTCTTTGGGTTTAATATAAAATGAGTAGTGCTAAAGCAAGATTAGATTTACTGAAATAAATAAATTATTGGGAAAGATGTGGTATTCAGCAGCTGTACTTAATGGGTAGGAGAAAATCATGTTGACTTAGTAAAAACGGGAGAATATCCTGGTGGCAAATGTCTCCTGTTTCTCTATTCCAGTGTCTTACTGTCAGGAATATAAGCTCAAATTTTTGTTTGACTTTCTTAAGCTTTAGAAAATATGGTGATTTCCTGTCTTTCAGAGTAAGTTACTTCCAGATCTGCCAAACCTGAAATAACAGAAAAGGCCTTTCTAAGCACTATCTGCAATGAAAAATAAACAGGAAAGTTAAAACATAGATGACTCACTAATACCAAAAATTCTTTTGATGGTTTTTAGAACAAGCTCTGCCATTATAGAAATTGAGAAATAAGAAAGGAGAAAGAGGGCCAAATGAGAAATAGAGCAACAAAGAGAAAATGGTGAACAGAAACTTTTTCAAAAAGTAACGCAGACCATATTAGCAAAGTAATTTAAGGGCTTTCAGTGTGAAGTTTGGGCACTGACCTCTGAATCTGTTTTCTTAGGAACAGGTGAAAAAAAATGAGGAACAGCATCACTTGTAGGTCTGGGATAAGTTCTTCCCAGAATTTCTCTAGGTTTTAAAATGAAAAGGCTTTTTTTGTATGAAGGTTCCCCTGGTAATGCACAATTCAAAAATAACATTTGATGTGCTTCAAAGACCAAAGTGATAAGAAAGACTTTTTTTTCCTGAGTGGGGAAATAATTTGGCCAGAGACTGCTTTGGTCTATCTTCAGATTGGTTAATTAATTTAAGACATGTGCCATATATGGTGGTGCATGCCTGTGAGGCAAGCTTCAGCAATTTGGAGAGGTCCTAAGCAACTTAGTGAGACCCGGTCTCAAAAACTAAAAGGCTGGGTTGTAGCTCAGTGGTAAAGCATCTCTGGGTTCAGTTCCCATTACCCGCCCAGCCACCCACCCCTACCCCCTGCAAAAGACAACCAAATTCATTTTGGATAACTGTAGTTTATGTTTGTATACTTTCATTTTTTTATTCTTTTGGCTAGTATATATTTATTCAGAATTTCTATTGAGTTCTTTGCACTTTTTTAGGTCTTGGAGATACAGTGAAGTATAAGATAGAGAAAAGTGTATATTGTATGTACTGTGGCACTAAAGGAGCCAAAGAACACCTCTGAGGGGCTGGAAATATAGCACAGCGGTAAAGCACTTGCCTAGCATGTGCTAGGCCCTGGGTTTAGTTCCCAACTCTACAAAAAAACAGCAAAATCTCTGAGGAAAGTAAAATTAGGCTGAAATCAGATTTATAAGCATGAGCCAGCCATGTGAAAGTCAAAGGAAAATATATCCTTAGCAGAGAGAACAGCTAAGGACCAATAGTAGGAAATGGCTCAGATGTTTGAGAAAAATGAAAGAAAGTACATGTGGCTTATACTTAGTACTGAAAGAGGAATAGAATATGATGCGGTTGGGAAGGAAACACAGGCCATATCATATATTAGTGTGTTTGGATATTAATCAGAATGTTGTGAAGAATTATTTTGAGAGTTTTAGACAACCTGAATTCTTTACAATTTTAAAATACTTCAGCAGAATAAGAATTCATACCCCATTTTAATCAAATGTATGATATATGATATGTCAAGATCATTGTAATGTTTTGAGCAACCAATAATAAAAAAAAATACTTCACCAGTGGAGACTAGTGGACTCAGGTGAAGAGTAATGTTTATACCATGTGGGGGGGGGTGACAAAAATGAACTGGGCCAGGTGCCATAGTGCACGCCTGTTATCCCAGTGGCTTGGAAGGCTGAGACAGGAGGATCATGAGTTCAAAGCCAGCCTCAGGAACAGAGGGGTGCTAAGCAACTTTGAGACCTTGTCATTAAATAAAATACAAAAATAGTGCTGAGGATATGGCTCAGTGGTCGAGTGCCCCTGAGTTCAATCCCCGGCACACACATATACACACAAATGAACAGGCATGGAATGGATTTGAGGTACATTTTGAACATAGATGGTAGGACTTGCTTCATGCTTTGGATGTGGAGAGTAAAGTTAAAACAAAGAAGGTAAAAGCTTTGACTTAAGCAAAAGTGACAAATTAATTGTGCCATTTACTAAAGTGGCTACTAGAAGATTTGGAGACAAAAATAAAGCATGTTGTTATAGTGAGTTTAAATATGTCTCCTGGACAAATAGATCTGTTAACGAGACACTTAAAAGTTTAAGTTCAAAGCAGTTAAGACTATATGGTAAAGATTTGGGCATCATTGTATTTACATGGAAGTTAAAGCATGTGACTGGGAAAACATTGGGAAAGAAGGGAAGGAAGCCCCCAGGAAGGTTGAAGAAGAGAGTAGCCAGCATGGGAAATGAAGAGGTCTTTGTGATAAAAGAAAACAACAGCGTGACATTTAAGAAAATAAGAAGGAAAAATATTTTGAGAAGAGAAAGGTCACTTAGTTTTAAAAGCCCCAGTTGGGAATGGGGATATAAATTAGTGGTAGAATACTTACTGGGCATGCATCAGGCCGTTTTTTGAGTCTCAGCACATGAATGGATAAATGAATGACCAAATTATAAAATTTTGGTCTCTGTTGTAAAATTCCCTAAGTACTTAAGTATGTACTAAAAAGAAAATCATCAAAGTTACTGCTATTCATAGAGGTCTTAGAAAATCGTGGATAGTGCTAATAGATATGGAAGTGGATAGGAGGTTGTATTTCCTGTCCTTAATATGTCTATTTTTTGTTTTGTTTTGAACCAGGAGCACTTTATAGCCCTTTCTATTTTTTATATTGAAACAGGGTCTCACTAAGTTGCTGAGGCTGGCCTAGAACTTGTGATCCTTCTGCCTCAGCCTTCCGAGCCATTAGGATTATAGGCGTGCACCTCCGTGCCCAGCAAGTCTTTCTTTTGGTGTAACTATTTCAAGTATCTATTTTTCCAGAAGTTCTGCCTTCAGTTCTATAGCAAAAGTTGTCTGGAAGAGCTGGAGATAAGCAGAACTTCAGCTCTCTTTCATCTTATTCAGAATTTGACTACTTTTTCTAGCCTCAATGGCATTTAATTCTAAAGATTAAGCATTTGTTTTAGAAACACAATAGCCAGACATGGTGGCACTCACCTGTAATCCCAGCAACTCAAGAGACTGAGGCAAGAGGACCACAACTTTGAGGCTAGTCTCAGTAATTTAGCAAGACCATGTCTCAAATTTAAAAAAAAAAAAAAATTTAAAGGGTTGGGATGTAGCTCAGTGGTAAAATGCTACTGGACTCAATCCCCAGAACCTTAAAACAAAAATAAACGAACAAACAAAAAAAATTACAGTAGTTTTCAGCTGTACGTCAATATTTCGTACTAATGAGTTGCTGTTAATTTAATAAAGTAGTGCTTCCAGACTGAGCTGTGCTTAGTATGTGTTCCTATTTACTTAAAAATAGCAGATTTAAGCCGGGTTGGGGGCACATACCTATAATCCCAGCAGCTCTGGAGGCTAAGACAGGAGGATCATGAATTCAGAGCTTGTCTCAGCAAAAAGCAAGTTTAACTAAGCAACTCAGTGATGCCCTGTCTCTAAATAAAATTCAAAATAGGGCTGGGAATGTGGCTCAGTAGTCAGGTGCCCCTGTGTTAATCCCTGGTATCAAAAAAAAAAAAAAATGCTGATTTAATATTTCTGTTCGCTCTAAAAACTATTATTTTACCAAAACGTTGTACTGTGATGGGATACTCCTTTGCAGTAGCTACAATTACTTTACTTGTAGAAATTATAAAACAGGAAATAAACAATTGATAGCATGATTCAATTTAATTTATTGTCTACAGGAAATTTTGTTAGAAGCTGTGGTAATGTGCTAATGACTTAAGTGTTTTGCTGCCTTTCTGAAAATCAACAAAAGGGCTGGGTTGTGGCTCAGCTGTAGAGTGCTCACCTAGCATGTGCAAGGCGCTGGGTTCAAACCTCAGCACCACATAAAAATAAATAAAATAAAGATATTGTGCCCTACTATAACTTAAAAAAAAAATTTTTTTAAAGAAAATCAACAAAAGACTCCTAGTGCTCATATGATACTAGGACTCTTGGGAAAATGTTTTGAGTAGTTTATCTTGTATAAATTGCTTATAGTAGCTTAGAAGTACAATTGTAAAGATGTTCATAATTTGCATATTTTCATGATGTAGTGATATCTAACGTAGAATTGTCTTTACAGGAAAAAAACAAAAAGAAAAAGAAGCATAAGAAACACAGTAAGAAGAAGAAAAAGAAGGCTGCTAGTTCAAGTCCTGACTCACCGTAACAATAAGAAAAACCAGGATTCTCTTATAAAGAAAGTGCAATGTCAAAGGAAATTTCAACTGTGAAAATTATGACATATTTACTAAAATGCATGAATTTTCTTGTTTTTAGAATTATTCCTGGACTATTAGAGCCACTCAGAGGCCACTGTGTGGAAGGGCCATGATTATTGCCTGCTGCTTGAACATCTGGTTTTTTTTTTCTTCCAGTGCTTGATAACTGGAAGATAATACACTGCAGTCATACTAGTGGTTAAGATATTTGGGAATAAAGCTAATATTTTAAACTAGAAGTACCTAGTGATAAATCAACACAAATTGAATCTGGATGCATCTTTAAGGTGTAATCAGAATTGACCAGATGACTCTAGTTAAAATTTTTAAAGTAGGGATCACATTAATATTTCAAAATCCTTACTGTGTAGATAAGTGTATTTTAATTTTTCCCCCCTTGTATGCTTTTATTTAGCTGGGGAAGGAGATTTTAAAGTGGAGGGGGGTGATTTGCTATCTCTTTAGCTAGCAGAATAGCGTGCCTTTGATCTTCACACATCCTACTTTTATGGACACAGTAGCCATGCTTCCTGGGGAGGTCAGAGCTGGGTACCAAACAGTCTTTACCCTTTACTGAGCTTAATGACATCCTTGGACTTTATCATATGCTGCTTTGAGTGAACCAGAAAAACAACCCTTTACAGCATGAGAAAGTCCCCGAAGCTCTGGTATTTATCTCCATGATAATAAAAACTGAATGTTTTTTAGCTTTAGAATGTGTTATGTCATTTGAATTAAGTTTGACTATACTTTGGCTTTGGAGATAAAACGTTTCAAATAGACACTGGTACTTTTTGGACTTGATAGCTGAAGATTCTAAAATGCATGTTTTATGCAGTTAAGTTTTAACTGGTCAGGAAAATTTTATGTAACCAGCAATAGTTACTTTATTTTTTGTATGAATTTTGTTTAGGCTGCAATGTTTAGCTTTTGTTAACTCCTTACTCTTGCTGTCTTAAGTTCATTACTATGTTTAGTGGCATACTTGCCAAGATATTTAGCATGTAAAAAGCAGGGTTTTGATTTTTTTTTTTTTTTTTAACAGCTTCATATTGAAGCTGAGACTTATATAAACAAGTTGAATGGCAGGCCTGGTATGCTGTATCTTGTTACATAAAGCTGTTGCCAGAATCTTAGTAAATATAATGTTTTAAAAGCTTGTTGTCTTTGTATGTTAATAACAAATTATAATGAGTTAAATTTAAGTGAGAGTTTTATCACTGCTCTTTCTGTGTCATATTTTACTAAGATTTTGTGCCTCATATCTTCTGCTGAATTATTAGGAATGTTAAAAGGAATTGATAAATCACTTTCATTTTACATTTTTATATAATCAAGTAATATGAAATATAATTTGATGTACAGTTTTGCCTGTTACAGGGGGTATGCTAATTATAGTGGCATATGCACAGAACATTTTGGCATGACGAGGCTGAATAAATAGCTATTTTACTTAAAAATAGCTGTGTTCTTATCTCCCTTTGGGTCATAGGTAGTTATAAAGATAAATACCACTTGGTTAGTAGGTAGATAAGATAGAACCACAAGTTTTTTAACTATAAAAGTAATATTTCTTAGAAAATTCCTTTAGATTTTGTGCTTAAGACTGCATACTGTCAAAAGATATCTATGCTCAAGTACACAGAAATTTTGAACAGCATTTCATATTCCAAAAGAAAATTGTTAATGAAAGTACCAAAAAAAAATTTATTAGGTCATTTGTTTGTTAGTTTTGCTATGAATATAGAAGCATAGCTTTATAGACTGGTCCAGAATATAACTGTCCTGTCCCACTAGAAGCAGCTGTTCATTAGGCTGGGGAAGAGGGAACAATGTGATTTGATAAAAAACTATACTTTGCAGATTCTGTTTACTGAATATGAAACACCTTTTTTCATTGTTTCTCTAATAACAGTCTTCCAGTAACGTATGGAAAGAGTATTTGACAGAGTAATGCTGTCAGTTATGTTTATTTCATAGTTAACTACAATGTACAGGATAATAATATCTCTTCCTCCTTCCACAAACCACGCTTTGTCTTTCTTGAGTAACTGAACACCAATTGTACAAACACAAGGCATGTTGTTTCGATAATGGTACTTGGATAACTGCCAGAAATTGATGAGTGTCTGGATAGAAAAATTGGCTCTATACTAGTGCTACTTACTTTAGTCACTTTGAATTTCCTTGGTTGCCCTCAGTGTATTTAGATATTTGAAGTACCATTAGAGTGTCTTGATTTTATTTTATTCAGAATACAGATTCTTTTTTTTTTTTTCGTTTAAGATGTGTTAAAAATTAATTTTCTATCTTTTCATTGTAAACAGTAGACTAACCTCAGGGAAGCCAAGTGAGAACTGCTATTTGAACTTTTTTAACTTAAAACTTATGAGCATCCATCTAGTATTTTTGGAAGGAAGATTTTAGGAACACAGCCCCCAGCCCCCAATTATTTGCCTTGTTTTAAAACTTTTTTTTTTTGTACCTGAGATTGAAGATGGGGTGCTTAATCACTGAACCATATCCCCAGACCTTTTTTATTTTGAGGCAGGGTCTCACTAATTGCTTAGGGCCAAGGCCTCCCAGGTAGCTGGGATTACAGTCATGTAATTTTTAAGTATTAAATTTTTAAGTGTAAAGATTTACTTTGGCCAGTTTAGAGGAGGTTATAACCTTTGAAGGAAATGTTGATGCCCTGGCTTAAAACTAATTTTAATGTTAAGAATCTAGTAAGGGGGCTGGGGATGTGGCTCAAGCAGTAGCACGCTCACCTGGCATGCGCCCGGCCCGGGTTCGATCCTCAGCACCTCATACAAAGATGTTATGTCCGCCGAAAACTAAAAATAAATATTGGGCTGGGGATGTGGCTCAAGCAGTAGCGCGATCGCCTGGCATGCGTGCGGCCCGAGTTCGATCCTCAGCACCATATACCAACAAAGATGTTGTGTCCTCCGAGAACTAAAAAATAAATATTAAAAAAAAATTCTCACTCTCTCTTTAAAAAAAAAATATTAAAATTTTCTCTCTCTCAAAAAAAAAAAAAAGAAGAAGAATCTAGTAAGGGGGTGGGGGTATAGCTCAGTGGTAGCACATGAGGCTCGGTTTAATCCCTAAGACCCACCCTACCCAAATTGGTAAGAATATTGTATTTTAGGGCTGGGGATATGCTCGGGATATAGCTCAGTGATAAAGAGTGTGTGTCTAAACATATGTGAGGCCCTGGGTTTAATCTCTAGTACCATAAGAATATTGCATCCAAAATTCTAGAAATCGTTTTAGTACATTTTCTTGACCTTACTACAGTGAAGGCCAACAGACCATAGACTAGTAGGTAGCGCGGATTTTATAATAGACATACGAGTTGGTTCAGCTTTGTCCTAACCATGTTTCTTGCTAGCTAATCAGTCAGGTCTACTAAATAGGAGGCATGAGAGTGGGTTTTTACATCCTAGAAGCTCCCAGATTGAAGCCTCTCATTTGGATTTCATAAGGGTGCTTGGTTAGAGTTTAAAGGAGCTTATAACCTTTGAGGGAAATGTTGATGCCCTAGAAAATTATTTCAACTTAATAAGCTCATTGTAATCTTAAGTTATTTTATGTTCAAATAAAGTGGAAAAACATTTCCAATTTGTGCTGATAATATAAATGGCAAAAATATGAAATACAACTTTAAGTGATACTTAGCCCAAAAGAAAAGATGTTAGAATTACTATAACGTTTCAGATCAAAATAACCTTAATGAAATTCCTGCATATATCCCAAGTGGTTGCAACCATTGTTGCATATTTTTTTTCAACTGCTTAGAAACCTTTTGTTTGGTTGCTGGCTAGTTGCCATGGTCACATTGTGTGCTGAGATTGGAGTAGTGACCTCTGCTATCAGTGTAACTCAAGACACCCAGGCTTAGAGCTTGACTATCTGGGGAATCTTATCGTGTGCTGGAGCCACAGTCAACATGAACCAGAGGGTTCTGAAGAAACTGGTGGAGCCCATCAGTAAAACTGTCAAGAGCTGTAAGTACTGACCAGACATCCTATACTGCCTGAACATTGCTTCTGTCAAATTAAAATATCAATAGACATTAGTTGGACATTAACAAGTGCTTTGTAAACCTAAAATAGATTCCCTCTACTTCTATGTACTATTTTGGCTATCAAAAATAGGCAATTAAGCAATTATACTGTACTTAACAAAATATTTTAACCTTTGGGTATCCTAAAATGTATGTGAGAAGAAGAGCTTGAGGATTTACATGGCATCATGTGAAAGGGTTATCTGACAACTAAGAACTGATTTGATTTTAGTCATACTGAAATTTAATGAAAAATTTTTAAGTATAAAGGTTTACTTTGGCCAATTCCCTGAATTTTCTGGCACAAAACTCAATGGCGAATGATTGCTCTACTTCAAAATTAATAAAAATAATTTGAAAAAACAGCATGGTACTTTGCACACAGAAAATATTTGCTTATTAAAGCTAGTTCAATGTAACACTTTTTTAAGCCTTACCGTGAATCAACTTTAACAAGGAATCTTAACAGTTTTGTTTCTCGGATATGACTGAAAGTCCTGACTGATAATTCTCAATCTGTTAGACATTCATGAAGTTACTTAATTTCGGCCACAGACTCATTATTTCAGTCTCATTATGGAATACGTCCATTGCATCTTGTATGACCTCAGGATAATACCACCTACAACTTCCACTGAAGTCTTAACTCAGTTTTCCATTTGGGATTTATATGATTGAAGTTTCTCAGGCACTTCTAAGGATCTGTTTACCAATCTTGCTTACATATATTACATGCTTAATATCTGTTCTGTAGATTTAGCCAGTGCTGAGTATAATAAATACTGTCATTTCTTTCTTTTTTTTTTTGAGAATTTTAATATTTTTTTTTTTTTTTTTAGTTCTCGGCGGACACAACATCTTTGTATGTGGTGCTGAGGATCGAACCCGGGCCGCACGCATGCCAGACATGCCAGACGACCGCGCTACCGCTTGAGCCACACCCCCAGCCCCTGTCATTTCTTTCTTAATGGAGCCTGAGTCTTAGAACATTCAAAAGGAAATTTGGGACCTGGAGTGTGGCTCAGGGGTAAAATGCTCACCTAATATGTCCAAGGCCCTGGGTTCGATCCTTGGCACCACATAAAAATAAATAAAATAAAGGTATTGTGTCCATCTACAACCAAAAATAAATATTTTTTAAAAAGGAAGTTTTACATATTTTTAAAATCCAATTCCCCCATAATAGTTATTTTAGCAATGTCTGCTAGCCATATGTTGAATACTATAGTTTGTTATTTGAAAGCAACTGCTGGAATCTGTGGATAGGAATATATAATACTTGATCAGAACCATATCTCATAGTACTGTATTTGAAAAAAAGAAGGTATTAGATTCCTTCGTTTTCTCAAAGCTTTTGACACTAATTCCTGTGCAAAAACTTAAGCCCTGAATGAATAGTTAACTGTTTTACACTCTGATCACAAATAACCTGTATTTACTGAGCTTTTCCTTAATGAGACATTGTACTAAGTGGTTTATATTAAGCATCTTAAAGTTTTTTTTTTTATTGTTGGTCGTTCAAAACATTACACAGTTCTTAATACATCATCTTTCACAGTTTGATTCAAGTGGGTTATGAACTCCCAACTTTACCCCGTATACAGATTGCTGTTTCACATCAGTTACCCTTCCATTGATTGACATATTGCCTTTCTAGTGTCTGATGTATTCTGCTGTCTGTCCTATTCTCTACTATCCCCCCTCCCCTCCCCTCCCCTTTTCTCATCCCTGTTTAATGTAAATCTTCTTCTCAAGCTCTTCGTCCTTACCCTGTCCTTGTTTACTCCCCTTATATCAAAGGGGTCATTTGGTATTTGTTTTTTAACGATTGACTAGCTTCACTTAGCATAATCTGCTCTAATGCCATCCATTTCCCTCCAAATTCTATGATTTTGTGTGCAAGATTATGGAATCAGCCTAGATGCCCTTCAATAGATGAATGGATAAAAAAAATGTGGCATTTATACACAATGGAGTATTACTCTGCATCTTAAAGTTTTAAGCACAAACCCAATAGGGTATGTGATATTTTCCTACTTTTCAGTACTAGAAACCAAAATTAGATCTTTTTATCAAAAGTTAGCTAGTGTACTTTTCTGGTTCTGGCAAAGTTGATGTTGAATCTGATGCTGTAGACTACACTAAAATATTATCTTTAGTTCTCAAATTAACCTTATTGATAAGCATTTCAGAGAGTCCTTGTGCTCTTTCTATGTAGCTTGCTCTCACATAGTAAGTGCACAATAAAGATTCCTTAAATTTAGCTCAGTTCTTGACTCACTGCAGTTGACACCAGGATAGACACTGGTCTTGTGACTGAAATTTTGTTGTTAGTGGGTAGGAATGGGAGTAATTATCTTAACCTCAGCGGGATTGACTTTTTATTAT